GGATATTTTGGGTGGGAGGTGGATTTGTGGATTTGAAGTTCTAATTGCTTTTTCAGAGGAAAGGTCCTGCATCCGGCGCAATCAAGTCATGAGACCATAGTGGTAACTACTGGTCGTGGGGGTAGATGGAGTTATCTCTCCGTTTTATCTCACCTGGTGATAGAGGCGATCTAATGGGCATATCGTTTGGGCTGGACGAGACCGACAAGTCTCGTCGACCTCCACATAGCGTGACATTGGGCCATTTCTCAACACATAACACATGAATGACGGTCAGAACGATACTGTAGTAGATCTCGATGGCCTTGGGCGTAGCTGATGTTAATATTGCCCAGTGAGAAGACGGTCTGCTGGTAGTGGGGGTGACGAGGCCAATACTGAATTCAAACCGGGAATGTCATTCAGGCTCCTAAGACTACAGTAAGGGGCCTATATAAGGGTACTGACAGCGACAGCGAAAGCCACTCGCCCAAGGGCTCCTAAGGATTCTAAGGCCTAAACTTAGGGGCTCATGACCTAAGGCTCAGGCTAAGGCCCATGGAAGCTACCTATTGGTGCTATGTATACATAGACCCTAGGGTTAGGGTTAGGGTTAGGGTTAGGGTTAGCATGTAATATATGGTACTAGCTGTAATATTAAACAGGACAGAGGGCACGCCGCGACGTCAGTGACGCCAGGTGACGCCACGCGCCCTGCGGGTTTGCTTCTGCTCTCTTTCCATCGCGTCCGTTGTGTAGGTATGTATCAACCAACGTAACCAACTGATGCGACCGAGGAAGCCCTCGTTCTGTAATGGCCGATGCAGCGACGGGCTCGACGGCGAACGAGGAGGAACCCGTCGAGGACATTGACCCTGGCTACTGGGATGACGAGGATGACGCACAAACACAAACCACATCCCTGTATTCTGCCTTGTTAGAACATGTCTATGAGAACGGAAGAACATACCACGGCTACCGCTCCGGAACGTACTGGTACGTGGACGAACCGCAGCTTGACGGGCTATTGCCCGTGGCTGGCTCTGGACCCCTGGCACCTACTGGCTTTATTGAGCTGAACTGCACTCACTGACTCGACTCACTAGGGGTCCGAACGACGACCAAGCCAACAACAACCTCGACCTATTCCACCACATCTTCAACCTGACGCTGAAAGGGCAACTCACGCTCGCGCCGATCGGCGACACTCCTCAACGGGTGCTGGACCTGGGCACCGGCACCGGCATTTGGGCCATGGACTTTGCCGACCGGTACCCGTCGGCCACGGTGGTTGGCACCGACCTGTCGGCCATCCAACCACAGTGGGTGCCGCCGAACGTGCAGTTCGAGATTGACGACTTCTCCCAGCCGTGGACGTTCAAGAAGGACTGGTTCGACTTCATCCACGCCCGTTGCCTGTACGGCTGCATCGCCGACTACCCGACCTTCTACGCCCAGGTCCTCACCCACCTGCAGCCAGGAGCGTGGTTCGAGCAGGTCGAGATCAGTGTCGTCTCACGCTCCGACGACGGCTCCACCGACGGCACCTACCTCGAACGCTGGAGCGAGCTCGCCCTCGAGGCCGGTGACCGCATCGGCAAGACCTTTCGCATCGCCGACGAGCTGGAGGAGCGCATGGTCCGATCCGGCTTCGCCAATGTCAGGTGTCACCGCTTTAGATGGCCGATTGGCCCGTGGCCCAAGGATCCCAAGTTGAAGGAGATCGGCGCCTACAACAGGCTGGCGTGTGAGGAAGGCATTGATGGCTGGGCGTTGCGGCCCTTGACGCAGGTCCTGGACGTGAGTGGTCCTCTTTTCCGTCGTTGTGTCATGTGTTGCCCATGCTCACCCTTGTGAATTGTTCGCTTCACTTCAGTGGTCCATCGAAGAAGTTCAAGTCCTATGTGCGCACCTCCGCCGTGACTTTCGTGACAAGCACATCCATGCCTATCAATATATGTGAGTATCCGGCCCCTAAAGGACGTTGCAATCACTCTGGTCTAATGGACTGTGTCAGCTCCGTCTGCTACGGCCAGAAGCCGGACCTCGGCTCACGAAGCCAGGAAAGTTGATGTGGATGTCATGTTGTTGTCACGCCTCAACGGCGAGCGACCAATTCATTTGCTCCTCAGCATCGTTACCTGGCTTTGGACCGATGCACTTTCGATGTCGACAGACCTTGCAAGAGGGACAAGCATTTTGCATTTCCGTCACGATACATTACGATATGTTACATTCCGTGTTGCTCGCTGTGTTGGTGTGCGTGTGCGTGTGCGTGTCCACCAAAGAGGGCCTCGGTATGCGACATGGTGCATTATAGCGCGGTTCCATTGTGCTGTGCTAGTCTTGAGCGTTGACGCATTGCCGCGGATCCAATTCGGCGTCTGATTCTTTTCATGATTTGACATTTACCGCTCCAGGCTCAAGTTGTCGGACATATCTAGCGTCGGCGCAGGACAGGCCAGGATAGGATAGGAAGGGGCAATCCAATTGGGTCTGATCGCATTCGATGATTCGAGTGAAGGAGGGAGAGGAAGAGGGAGCTGAAATCACAATCACAATCACAATCACAAGCCGATGACAGCTGACTTGGGCTTGGTTGCCATTCGACAGGGTCGAGTCAATATCGATTCAAGCGATGGTTGGCTGGGAAGGTGATGGTGATGGTGTTTTCGCCGCCGAAAGTGTTTGTTTCTGTTTCGCACGGTATAGACTATACACTTGTAGACGTCTGGGAGGATGGGCCATAGATTTGGATAGACGTCCGGACAAAGACATAGAGAGTACTAGGACTAGTGCGTGTTTGGGAATTTGGGAATTCCGAGATCGTAAATCGTAAATCGTAATCATGAATTGTCATGACACTCTTGAATCTTGCTCTGCTCGACTCTTGTCTGGTTCTCTCTCTCTCTCTCTCTCTCTCTCTCTCTCTCTCTCTCTCTCTCTCTCTCTCTCTCTCTTCCTCGTGCCCGTCAAAGTTCAACGGCTCATAGCATCCCTGCACCTGCACGGCGATGGTTTGCAGCGAATGAACAGAATGGTCTTTCAGCCATCACCAGGTTTCCCTTCTTTTAACCGGCACGGTCGTGCGTGACCTTGGCCCTCACGCCTCGCGAAGCCCACTTCGGATAGGGTAGCAGGTACGTGTGGGCGGTCTGCACGTCCGTCACGTCGGTGTGGTGCAGGTCGAATGTGAATCGGCCAAAGACGGCCGCGAGAGCGAGATAGATTTCCGCTTGGGCCAGGCTGTGCCGAGGCGCGAGGCGAGGCGTCACATTAGTCTCGGAAAAAGAAAAAAATAGAAAACAGGAGGGGGTGTGATTGTGTGTTGAATAGTAGATAGTAGGTATTGGCGCTTGTATGTTAACGTCCTTGAGGGAGATTGTTGGGTTCACGAAGAGGGAGGATCGACGGTCAGAGATTCAAATAGAAGCCCAAGACTGACGGACAGAACACACACACACACACACACAGAGAGAGAGAGAGAGATAGAGAGAGATAAAACCACAATACAGAACCAACGACATGGGCAGATACAGGACAGGGGTGTGTGTGAGAGAGAGGGAGAGAGTGTGAGCGAGCGAGTGAGTGTGTGTGTGAGGGAGAGAGGGAGGGAGAGGGACAGAACCGCCAAGGACAGAGACAAGTGAACTTACTTGATGCCCAAACACGACCTGGACCCCCTACCAAAAGCAACAAAGTACCGCTCCAGACCGGGATTGTCAATCCAGCGGTTCGGGTTGAACGTGTGCGGGTCAGGAAATACAGTTTCATCCATCAACACGTGCATGCCGTACATGGACACCGGCGTCCCCTTGGGGATAGACCAAGGCCCGTAGCGGAGGTCTTTATCGGGCGAAATGCGCGGGTTACGGCCCGGCACTCCTGTCGACAGTCGCACGGCCTCGTACACGCAGCCGCTGAGGTAGGGAAGAGTCTGGAGTCGGTGCCAGGACAGCAGGGGGTCTGTGGTGTGGCGTGGGTGGGATTCATTGCCGGCGGCGGCGGCGGCCTCGTCGAGCTCACGGCGCAGGGTGTCGTGGATCTGAGGGTCGTTGATGATGTAGAAGCTGGCCACGGTCAGCGCCCAGTAGGTGGTCAGCAGGCCGGCGGCGATGACGAGCTGTGCTTCGTCGCCGAGGCGTGCGTCTGTTTTCTCCGCAGCGGCCAGGTTGCTGTTGAGGAGTTCATGGAAGATGGTGGCGTGGCCTTTGTCTTTGTAGGCCGCGTTGGTGCCTTCGCGGATCTGCTTGACTTGCTCGGCGAGGTCCTGGGATTGGCGTCAGCGACGGGGCAGACTCGGTGAGACCAGCATAGATGATCTAGTCAGATGCCACGACCGTAGACAATATGGGATATGGGATACACTGAACGGATGGCCGGCTGTCTGGCTAGATACATTCGGGTATTGATGGGGGGGTGGCAACACTGCACCGCACCACGGATTCAGGATATAGGCTTCAGAAAAGAAGAAAAAGGCGGATGCATACATGGCGTAGACCCAGCACCGGCAGCAACACCGGCTTGAACTTGCGCACCATCCACACCGGCAACCTCTCCAGAATGGGGAAGATGATGGGGAAATGCAGGGCAAAGTTCCCCGTCACGTCGACCGTCATGAGCGCGTCATGCAGGCTCTCCTGGAAGCCCGGCGAGTCGAGGTGGCCATAAGACCGGGCAAACGCGTACTCGGTGATGATGTCGGTGGTGAGGGCCATCCAGGCCCTGGACAGCGAGAGCACTTTGCCGGACCCGGCGTCGGCATATGTCGCGACCACGCTGCACAGCTTCTGGATTTTCTCTTGCACGGTCGGCTCGAACTCGTCGATGCGCTTCGCCGAGAACATCAGCCCCAGCGCCTTCCGCCGGGTCCGGTGCAGCGTGTGCTCCGAGGTCGAGAAGGTGTCGGAGGCATGGCCGAACCGGCGGGCAAAGTAGTCGTACTTGTCGAGGTTGGGCGAGCGCGCGTACAGCACGTCGAAGAAGTCCGGGTCCAGGATGTGCAGCTCGGTCGGGCTGATGCGGACGATGGGCCCTGAGAATGGAGCATGGAGAATGTTAGGCCACCAGCACCGGCACCAGGAGAAAGGAGAGATACAAGATGCATGCCCATACATACCATATTGGCGATGCAGGTCTCGCACATGGAACGAGAACCTGCCGCCCTGCATAACATTGTAGTAGAACTCGTACCCGCCCGTCAAGGCGGCGAGCTTCGGGCCCGGGAAGTGCGCGATCGGGCTCCAATACAGCCGGTAGACGGCCACCAGGGCAAGCTGCACCAGCAGGATGACGAGGGCTGAGCGAGCCACCGGGCCGAGCAGCTCGGTGGTCTCCATCAGGGCGTAGAGGACACTGTCAGCCACGGATCCAGGAATTCCAGAATCACGTACACGTACACCTACTGTAGAAAGACTCGATGCCGGTGTGCTGGCATGGAGTGGGAGTGGGAGAGATGGCAAAGGTGTTAGTCGACAGTCTGTCAGCCTTGGCCCAATAAATAGAGAGGCTGAGGCGGCCAGAAGCAACCACAACCACAACCACACCCACGCCCACACTTTGGGGGGCACCTGGATCTCACGTTCACCGCAGAGACAGTGGCATCATGATAATGCTACATGTACCGAGTATGTAGTCATCTATCTCAATACTCTGGACAACCTCAGACCCGGCATGGCCTCCTTACCCGTAAGCAGCTTCTACCCTCCCGGTCACAGCCTTCCCTCTATGTCGTCTTCACTCGAGCCAGGGCGCTGTTCAGAGGAATGTTGTGCTCTGGATGCGGCTCCGGGAATCCCTCCACCTCCACCCCCTTCCGGAACAGCAGACAATGGGTCGACCCACCGAAATGGAACATGCCGATCTCGTCGCCCTTGTTCACATGCTGTCCTTCCTTGACCGTCATCTCGCACGTCGACACCTCACACATGCCGATGCCCAAAAACGCCATGAGCCCAATCGCCGGGTTGTCCGCCTGGAAGAACATGATGGCTCGTGTCGCCGTTGCCGTCAGGTATCCCTGACTGGTGACCTGCCCCGAGGGGTCAGCGCCATGCTCTGGGCTGAAGTCCTCGAACAGCGGCTCCGAGTAGTAGGTGCCGTCGACCACGTACGCCTTGACCAGCTTTCCCGACACCGGTGCGTGCCAGCGGTGGTAGCTGAGCGCGCTGAGGAAGGCTTGGTAGACGGTGCCGCCGACGAATTGGTCGGCCAGAGCATCCTGGGCTAACATGTCGCGCACCGAATATGGCTGGCCCTTGAGCCAGAAGTGGTCGCGGGCCTTGACGTTGCGGGCGACCTTGTACGTCTTGGACTCGCATGCATTGGCAATCACCGAGTCGTCGTCCGGACTAGCCACCGGTCTGATGTGCTCTCGGAAGCGGCGGGTGAAGAAATCGTCCCAGGACTTGTAGCCGTACCGTGCGTCCGACGGGTCGCAGACGAACATGTCCTCAAACTTGTAATTCGACTTGCCCACGTTGGCGGTGAAGCTGAGTTCCTCGTGTCCGTGGTCGCTGAACCAGCTTGCCGGGGCCTTTCTCTCCAGCACGCTGGCCGACTCGGGCGAGCGAAGAAAGTCCCCCCAGGCATTGAGCACCTTTTTCAGCATCGCGTTGACCTCCGGGTCGAGGAAGGCGGCGAACCCGCTGGACGTCCCCATCGGCCAGTCGAACAGCGCGTTGAACGGCAGCCCGACCAACCCGACCCGCTCAGACTTGTCGTTCCATGACGGGGCGGTGGTCAAGATGTGGTTGATGACCTGTAGCATGTGCACGTGGTCGCGCACCTGCGGGTGGCCGGGGCCTCGAGGGTCGTTGTTGTAGGGGGGCTTGTTGGGGACTTGCTGGAACATGGAGCTGAACAGTAGCCACACTCGAGTGTTGTTCTCGACCAACGCCTGGAATTCCCGGAGTACCGGGTGGAGGTCTTTGGGGTTCTGGTCGACGTGGGCGATGACCCCGGCCAGCCATTCTTGATGGGCGCGATGATCGTGTGGCAGCCATTCACCGGTTCTGTAGTTAGAGAGAGACAATCACGTTAGCCTCACTCTCACTCGATCGTCTGGGAGGAGAGTCTTGAGTTCTTACCGGTGGAAGTGGTGCTCTGGGGGGATATCTTTCTCCTGCTTCATGGTTGGCGGAGACTGACGGCCAGGCAAGAATCAGTCGTCGGTGAAAGGTCGAGGTCGAGGTCGAGGGATAGGTATAACAGTCGACTCGAGAGGAAGAAGAAAAGGAACAAGATCAAGATCAGAGAAGATTAAACATTTCCATTGCACGATCGAGGTGCGGTGGTGGTGGTGGTGGTGGTGGTGTTGCACGTCGTCAGGTCACTACGTCACAACCAGAGACAGTCACAAAGTCACAGACTTACAGAGTCGTCGTCACGCTCACGGCCAAACTGCGCAGCCAGTAACAAAAGGTACTGTACTCGTAGTAGTGATGATGCTGTCACCGCAACTCAACCCTTTGATCTTTGATGACTTCTATTTCTATCAAACAGTAGCACCACTGGCACCCGTGGCACCACTGGTATAGGACCCAGCCTCTGCCTCTTGCTGAGATGATCAATATCTAATATTTATGACCAGCTTCCACACACATTACTGACATCGCTCTTCTCCATATCTCAGTGATCATCGGTGATTAAATCTTAATTCCAGTTCTGCCAAACACATTCGCATCCCCCCGTCCCCCCATCAATCCCTCCGGCATCCTGGTCAAAGCTATCGTTGCCTGCATCGATCGAGCCATTCACCAACGGCGGCGCCGGGTTGATCAGCGTCCCTCCAACCCCCCTGGCCTCGGGGACAATGCTCTTGACGTCGGTCTGGATCACTTGCAGGTCGTCCACCCCGTAGCAATAAACCGCTTTCTTGTTGATGTTCCCACCATGTCGGTCCAGGCTCAGTGTTGTCGGGTATGGGAACGATCCAGGACGGTTGAAGTCGGTCGCCGAGCTGACAGTGCCGTTCCCATTCGTCCCGTTGTTCTCGCTGGTCGGACTGAGGAGCGTCGCCCCAAATGCAGCGTTGGTCCACACCTTGACCAGAAACCGTGTTTGACTCAAGGTGCACCGCAGCCGGGACTGCTCTCGGGTCGCCCCCCCATTCTCATCCGCAGGATCGATCCCGGCGTTGTTCGAGAACTCCGACGTATTGAGGGGTGCCGTCGACTTGAGGAAGATGGCTTTGTCGTAGTACATGTAGAATCCATAATGCTCGTCCGTCTGACCACGGTTGTAGAGCTTGATAGGCTGCGAGGTGGGGTACGGCGAAGTGGGCAATAGATTGGCCGGCGCCGCACTGCCATCGTCGAGGACGTCTGGGGCAGGGATCGAGTCGGACGAGTTCGTGGCTTGTCTGGTTCGAAGCCGTGAACTCTTGGAACTGGAGCTCGTGGTGTTGGATGGATCGATCGGGAAGACCGGAATGAAGGTGATGAAGAACGGGGTTTGTTCCCCTTCAAACGGCTGGGTGGTATTATCGGTCGTGTTGCCCATGAAGATTTGATCTGCCCGGCTCGGTGGGGTCGGATTGGGCTCGAAGAGATCGTTCGTAAAGGGGTCACTGGCACGCCTCTCGACCCCGGATGACCTCCGCGACACACTGCCCACGGGTATGGTCATGTTCGTTGGGACAGTCCCGTTTCGAAAGGTGATCTCGAAGCGGAAGTTTGGCTGATCAGCATTGTTCGGTGCAATGTCGGCCTGGCTCTCCTTTGGCAAAGCACAGCTCCAGAGTGTGGTCGGTGCCACGCACTGGGACTGTTGCCTGACAGCATCTGGTCGGGCGATGGTAGAGATGCCGGTCGGGATAGGCGGGTAGCCGGTCAGATTCAGCCACTGACTCTGCACCGGCGTATCGGTCCCGGTGCGGGTGAGAAAGATGGCAAGTAGAAGGCAGGTCAGGACGATCAAAAACAACGGAATGGAGATGATCAGCGTCCACGGCCACTTCTTCGCCGTCGCGTTGTCTCCTTCTACTGGCAGTTTCCTCTTGCCCAAGCATTTTAGCATCGAAAGGATACTTGATTTCTTGCTGCTGTCTTGGCCAGTTGCTTTTGACGCCACGTCTCTCTGTGGCGCGGGCCGACTCAGCTGTCGCACCGAGCCAGGACGACTATCTGTATGCTCCACTCTAGCTTCTGTGACTCTGGGAGATGGTTCATATGGAGGCCTGTCCGCATGGGTCGTGAGCTGATGTATGGTGATCAACGGAGGTGGTATTTGACCGGGGGTCGCCGGCTGCGTTGACGTGTGCCCATGATCCAAAAAAGGAGCGTGGCCTGAATTCTGTTGCATTTCTGTCATGGGCACGGCGCCCTGGGACGCCATGGTTCGCTGCATTGCTGGCGAGACAGGACCAGGTGACATGACCGGTGGCTGATTGACGTGCGGAGGCACAACCGTCGCAATATTTGGATATTGCATCAGGACATGGCGAGGCTCTGGATCAGGGGTGGGCTGCGCGCTCTGCAAGTTTGCAGCCTCCACGTGAGTTGGCGAGGCTTTGGGGCTCGGGTCGCCCGGTGCATTACCTGGCATGTCTGGTGTCTCGATCGATCTTGCCTTCATCACTGCTGCTGTGTCGGCCTGTCGAACATTCGGCGAGAGTTCTGCTGGTTCAGTCCGGATGGTCACCTCACTCTGCACTCTCGCCTTTGGGGACAGAGGCACATTGCCGTCCCCAGCAGCGTCACCAACAGAACGGCCGGCTTCGTTTGCAGCGGTCGACACACCCGGCGAAGAATTGGGATCGAAAACGGACTGCAATCGGGGCAACCCTTCTGTACACGAATGGTTCTGACACTCGAAGTATTGGACACCGCTCAGCTGCTCGACCGCACATGCGTGGTAGTATTCCGCTGCAAGACCATCACTAGAGGGATATGTAGCGGGTTTGGAGGGAGTATCCTTGAAATTATGGGACGTCTCCTGCTGTTTGATGGTGTCAGAAGGTTGAGCCTGCTTGTTTGTCTGTTTGCTTCCAGCCCTTTCCCGTTCTCTTTCCCACGAGGTCCATCGAGACCAGACACTGGCTCTGGCACTGGCCAACCCTAGACGACGTGGCGTCTCGGGGGACTCTGGAGAGACAGGTGCATTGAAAATCGTGTGGGGTGTTGTTACCGCCGCCGGGCCTGATGGTAGTGGAGGGGTCTCCACGGCCCTGGCACCGCCCTTTTCCACGACCGTGCCTTTTCTCGATAGCATAGGCGAGAGCATCAGGTTCCACCATCCCTGTGATCGGGGACGCTCATGGTCGGGGCCTGAGGGCAGGATGGGCATTTGGCTTTCACATGAGTTCCGCGGCGCGCCGTCCGCAAAATCTAGGCCCTTCTCGTCGTCAACTTTAGGTCCTCGAGCATAGTGCGGACGACCATCTGACATGGTCCTGACCACAACCGCGCCTGCGGTCACCGGCTCTGTACCGTTCTGGTTCGCATGGGCTCGAGGGATCTTTGGCACTGGAGGGGTGTCATAAGTCAACGGCGGGGGTTCGTTTCGAGGAACAGCGGAATAGATGCTAGAGGGAGGCCTAGGTTCGCCCAAGAATCGAGGTCTCCCAAACTCGGTCTCGTCGGCAGGAGTCACCACGATCGCAGGTGTGTCCGGGGTAGGCCCTGAGACCGCACTGTCTCCACCATTTGTGGCCCGGCGAGCGTCAGCTTCGTGTTCCGGGACGCTGAGTCCGATAACGATCGACCTTGCTTGAGGAGAGCCATCAGTTTCCGTCGTGGCCTTGTCATTGATCTGTGAGCGTCCAAGCTGTGTATTGTTGGCGTTGGCGTTGGCGCGTGCCTTCTTTCCAGCCGCCTGCCACTCTTGCAATCTAGACACAACTTCCCCACCAACGCTTCTCTTCAATTTTGGTAATCTCTGTGGTCCGTCTGAGATGTATTTGTGTCCTACAACTGCGTCGACGAGATTGCCGTGGCCAAGGATCGTCTCTGTCCCCGAGTGGCCCACGTGTTCCGCTTTCGCTGACACAACCGACGTAGCATAGCGCGGTCCTAGCTGGGGTCTTTGAGCATGTACCTTTTCGATCACCAGTCCGTCTGTCTGCGACCTTGTCGATTGAGTCGAGAAGTTAGTGACAATGTTCAGTCCCGGCCGTGGCTTTCGATCTGATCTTTTCGGTGGTCGTCGAAGTGACCGTTGGCGGCGGGATTGCGGTGTCTGCGCCACACTCTTCGCATCTTGACTATATCTCTCCAGATGAAACTCATCTTGGCCGCTGGAACCTCCACTGTCGTCGTCGGAGGAGCTCGAGGCGAAAGGGTTAGATGGAAAGAAGGGGTTTTTGGATACGAGGCTGCCGGGGCCTGTGCTGGGTTTCAGTGCTGTAACGTTTTCGATCGGGGGAGACGACAACGGAAAGGCAGGGTCACGGTTCGGCCGATCTGCTTGAGCATCCACTATGTTCAGAGGCCGGGTTCGAGCCCTATGCGCTGCGTCTTTGGTGGCCATGCCGGCGTAATCTGGGCGCGAGGGAGGTCGACTCTGGTGCCAACGCTTCGCATGAGGGTGAAGAAAGTAAACTTGAGATGCCTGAGATCGACGGGCTGCGATATGATAATATTCATGAAGTAGTCATTGTTCTTGAGTGAATCACAACTGGGTGCTGAGTGTTCTAGCGGCTGCAACACTGTTTCAACGGATGCTTTCCGTGGCACACTGCTGAAAGGGACGCACTGAATGCTGTGACTTGTCAAGGAAAATCTGGACTGAGAGTCAGATGTACGTGGAATCTGCAGAGGCAATTACAAAACATATAGACAAAGAAATCGCAGAAGCTTGCGGTAACGATGGCGCAGTTGACAGAGGAAGCGGCAGAGAGCTCATGGCCGGTGCAGTGGGAGACGGTTATATTGAAGACGGTAGGACCACAAGGCCCACGTGTACTGTCCATCGGTCTCAGACAAGACCTCTTTCTCTGCCTTCATCATCAGACTCCCGACGGTGGCTGTTTGAAGCCCGCCCGTGGCCGTCGACGTCTGTTGCCGCCACTGGACGGGGCTCCAAACATAGCAGTCTCGAGAGCAGGCCTCCGAGCGCCAGCGGCTCGGCGGCAAAAGCAAGCGTGTAAAGAGAAACCAGCGATGGAAACACCGCAGGTGACTGGAGGATAAAAAAACCATGCGAGATCTACGCGCGCGTGGGATGTTTGATGTTTGATGTTTCGAAGGATCGCAGCCACTAGAAGAGCAGTCACGTGGTAGGCCCAGACAGATGTTTCACAAGGCTGCCGCGCCTGGCACGGTTAGAATGAACAGTCAGACCCGTATCCGTAGGGAGTCATTTATGATGGTTCCATCTACACGTCCAACACCCCATGGCCAGAGAAACGAGACCTCTCTAATATTTCAAAGTAGGGTCCCTCCATCAATCCCCGTCCCAAAATCCATCGACTCTGTCCGCGCCGGTTCTCAACTTCGCAACACACATTGCGCGGTTAGTGGTATCATAAAATCAGTTCCCCGTCCATGCCTCAAAGCAAGATGCCATCCGACACTCCCGTGCCCCGCAAGTTACTGGTAGACCAGGGAGAACCGTCACAAGAGACGTCGATGCTCAAAACTGTGCTGCGAGAGGCACTCCACGCAAGCCCGAAAAAATTATGGAACATGGAAGACTCCCGGCAACTTCCTATTTTAGCGCCTTTCATCCGAATACTGTATGCCTTGCATTGACGAGTTGGTCATTATGGGTGGTAGCGTCCGTGCGGACTCATTCGGGCCCTCGATGTGGCCGTTGTAATGCGATGCGTACCCTAGCGGACTCTGAGGCATCGCGCTCGGCGGCGGAGGAAAGGAGCCCTGCGGCTGCTGTATGCCGCGCAACTGTTGACTCATCTCGTGCATCTTCGCCTCCAGCTCGGCAATCTTCAGGCGCTGGTTTTCATAGTCCGCTCGCTGTTGTTTAGTCTGGTTTTCCAGCTGTGTGATGTAATCAATGGCTAAAGCACCTTAGCGGACGCTCTTCTCACACGGTCACAGATACTCACCCCTTGACAATGTTTCCCACTTGCTGGATTTGTTGTTCTGACTCGTGGGCAGCCGCGACCTCAGCTGCTCAAAACAGTCCTTCATCTCACTCCGTCTCTTACGCTCGGCAAGCTTGTGGGTCACTCGTAGTTCGGGCGTCCGGCTGTATGGCGTAGTGCTATTCGGCGAGTCGGGGTCGCCCCGGAGACTGTCGATTTGTTTGTGTTGCAGCGTGTGGTGGTGGGCGTCTGGGAGTTCTGGAGACGTCAGCCTTGCCTCGCGCCATGCGGGCGTCATGGGGTGGGTACCTTGCTGGCCGATCGGTAGCCTGGACGATTCTACCGTCAGAACGCTGCTCGTAAAGGACTCGGCAATACTGTTCCGCCGCGAAAACGTTGAGGGCGGTCCTCCTTGGGGTCGAGGGGCATCTGGATCCGGGAACGCGTAGGCTTGACCGCGAGTGGGAGCTTCTGCGCTGTACACTTCCTGCTTCGGGTTTTCCAAGATTGGAGGAGCAACTCGTCCAGCAGCAAAACTCCGCCCCCCGCCGCGACTGGAATTGAACGAGGAGATTGGCCCATTCATGGTTGAGTACCGACCCCCGGAATATCCATTGGTTTGGATGCCTCGTTCCCGTTGCAGGTCCGATACGAGCGAGGTCTGTGACGCATTGTTGCTTGTGTACGGCGAGGTTTGTCCCAGTCCCAGGTTGTTCATGCCGTGATGGATGCTGTTCGTCACACTGCTCCTCCTCGAATCGTCGAAATCGCCGCTGCCTCGGTGGGCGTGGGGATCGGTAATCGGCGGCGGCAGTCCGTTCGAGTGGTGGTGCATCGCACCATTGAAAGGCGCCGGAGGAGCTGAAGGATGTTCCGGCGTGAAGGGGGAGTGTCCCGGGCCGGTAGGAGAATGGGCCGAATTCAGGTATGGCATGGAATTGGTCGAATGCGCAGAAGAACCTGAACCTAGGAAGAGCATGATTAGCACCAGGCACCAGTGTGCACAGTCTGCAACGGGGAGGGTAGACTGACGGGTACCGGGCGTCATCCAGCTGCCCGAGTCTCTCTGCGGTGGGTGAATGGAGAGATCTGACTGACCTCTATCGGCTAGAGGGGCGGGCAGCTTCGAAGTCAGCGAAGCTATCGAGGGCAGAGTCTGAGTGGTCTGGGGGAGACTAGGCGGGAGGTTTGTCTCCCATGGCCGGCGGCTCGTCGTCTCCATCTTGCGATTTCTGTCGACTTGTCGCTCGCCTGTCGAATATGACTAGCGGAGATGGCGACCAGAGTTGTCGCTTTTTCGCATATGGACCTCCAACAAGGTTGCGGTGTTCCTGACTCGTCGCTCGGCGAGTCCGCAATCCCGAAAACTATTGGCCTGTATTGTGCGAGCAATGATACGTGTGAGGTGTCGCTGCAAGAGGTTAAACTAAGGGGCTCACACAGCAGCGAGCAGTGGCACAGGCTCTTTTCGAGAGTGTATCCGATGCTTCGACGCAGAATCCCGCTGTTGGTAGACGCTGAAGCCCACGCAACCTTGATACGCTGCGTGGTCGAATGGGCTGTGTGTACTGAGGTGTCTGGGGAAAGATCGCAATCCCTTCAAAACACCTCGACCCAGCCCACCTGCGTCGCAAAGCAGTCGCGAGTGAAACCGTCCCACTCAGCAGTATAGGCCTCCCCTAAGACCCTGTTATTGTGTTGGAGAGCTCAACCCTTCCCGAAAACGTGGCCGGGCAGATCTTGTGGAGCAGGATCGAAGCGATGCGGCTTGCCAGGGCGGCGAAGAAATTCGTCGAGGTGTTGGAGTCGACGGGTTGGCGGTGGCACAAGCGGCGGCGGGACGCAGGGAAGAATTTGATCTAGGCACGGTAAGGTGCGTCAGGAAGAGAGACGGAAAACGAGGGCGCCAGAGTCGTCGAAAATCGCAAATCGTCGGTACCAGATCGGAGTCGATGAGGCCAGCCGAGGCGGCCGAAGTCGTGGATATCAATGGAACGAAAGGCGTCGACGACGGAATCTTGCGAATAATGGTGGGCCAGCAATTCACATAGGCTCGCTCCAGCCAGGCACCGCACACTGGAAAGGTGCAATGATGGAGAATGGCTGAAAAGAGGTGGGAAGAACAGTCGAGAAAGTGTCGATGCCACTGCACATGGGATAGTTGTCTCCCTTTCGGCGCGGCCAGAGTCGAGTCGAGTAGACACTGGCGGGTCAGTAGGGAACAAGGGCAGCCGACTAGTATGTAGTGGTACTTGCGTGTTCGCTCTCTAGTTTTGGCGGGCTTTCTCCTGCTTAGCCCGAAGCAAAGTTCCAGCAGGGCCCTAATCCCCCGGGGCGGAGAGATAGTGAGTTGGGTTTAGTGGGTGTCAATGATCTTATTGAGCGTCCATGTCCCCATCCGCCAGTCTCTAAAGCCCCGAAGCGGCTTGTGCCAGGTGCAGTGGGCTAAGGGCTTGTCTGAGGACCGAGGGCCTAAGAGCCTAGGGGCCCAGCGCTCAAGGGGATCCCTGGGCCCGAGCCCCAGCCCACTCAATTAATCTTCCACCACCCACCTACCACCAGCACCAGCACCGACGCCGCCTTCGAGCTTCATCCATGATCCATCCGACAACGCCGTCCTTGCTCCATCATGAAGTGTGAAGCGCATATCAGATCGTCCTATCAACGCACTGCCATGTTACTAAGTGCATAACACACTAGTGCTGTTCCAGGGTCTTGCCTGTATGAGCGGTGCTGATGTTATGTGCAGCATCCGTCCTGGCTTGTGGCGACCGGTTGGAACGATTGTGTGGTGTTTTCATGCGCCCTACGCCTCCGTCCTCTGTCTTCTGTACCACGAAGCACCAGTCCTGCGTCTGTCTAACGCCCGCGATCTCAGATTCCACCGCCTGCCTGTCCGTGTGTCCCTCGTCCTCAGCATCCGAAGATGGGCCTGCAGTGCCGGACCACGCCACGTGCGTCAAACTACAGCACCCCTCTCGACGCCTCAACCATGATTGCCGTCGACCTCGACTCGTGGCGAATCCTGGCCAGATGATACACGTTGTCTGCAGGCCGGCCGGCCTGCAGACCACCTCACCTCTTGTTTCACGGGCGAGCATATAGCCAGGGCCGGCCATCCTCCTTCTTGCGGCCGTGCCTCTCACAACACTTGGGTGATGAGGAGCACAGGGCCAGACGAAGGAATCATATCCGGAAGGGACATGCCAGATGTTTGGAGCAAGAGGGTCTTATTACCTCGGAGGGCAGACATGGACTACTACGAGAACCCCACCCTTCCACCCCCCCGGCCCAACACCTCAGGTGTGAGTCTATCTATGACTCGTCTCAGCTGGCGAGACCCCCTTGAACAGCAGCAGCCTCCGAACTGCTTAGGCAACGCCCGACCCCTGTGCCGCTGTACGCCCCCGAGCTAACAGATGGCGGCTGCGGGCTGCGGGCTGCAATTATCGCCTCTATCCCATCTCGACGATCTTTTCCGCATGTGATGTGGTCGCCGTGTGGCCGCCTTTAGCTGCATCCTCGCGAAGACAGGGACGATTCAATGTCCATATTCCTAGCGGTTTCACCTCTCACCACTGACTGACAGTAATATAAAACCGTCCAGGGCCCTCTGGGCCATGCGGTTTAGATCGACACTTACTGAGGGTAGGAAGACGATTTGCAAGTTCATTGACGTTTGCAGCGCACCACACCTGGTACGGCCTAAACCCTGGCTTGTGCCCTGAACCCGTCAGAGCCAAGGCTCATCGAGGCAGAGCTAACCAGCACTTGCAGGGTCATCAAAACGTGGCAGCGGCAGGTCGTCGTACTTGTTCAGGGCCATATCCACACGAATTATGTGTCCGGGGTTCCGGCGCGATATGAGCGGCCGAGATCGACTGCCCCCAGTTGCCGAGATGAGACAATGATGACAATTGACTTCAACAGGTAGCAAGAAAGGTTTCACTCGGAGTCGCTTGGAGGTGTCAGTCTCGCGTGGCCCAGAGCATGAAAATAGGGTCTTGCTGCTCACAAAAGAGGTCCGTGGTCGCCCACGCGAGTCGAGAGGAGAAGCCTTTAGGGCTTGACGAGGCACAGCCAGCGCCGCACGGACGTCTCTGATCGAGACCACTTGCTAGGCGTCATCGGGATAATTATCGCTACACGGGCCCAACCCCAGAAGCCGCAGCGTCTGACCTCCTGGCGTCGTCCCTTGAACTTGATCTCCGAACTGTATTACCAAAAGGCTCCTTTATATGAACTAGCCTCAGCTCAGTGCGTGACACTTTGACGAGCTCCAATCTCATACGCCACGGTCGCTCTACCCTAGCAAGCTGTTGCAAAAGCCATCTTTCGCAGTCTTGTTTAACCTATAGTGCAGACTCTCCATGCTTGTCCCAGCAGACGAAGTGGCAAGCGCTAGACGTCTGTCAAAATCGATGCCCCATACAACATCCGTTCCAGTACGTCTCAGGCTAAACATTGAAGTGAGTGGCAGTTTTACCTGCATGGACTGGTCTTCTCTACAGAATCCCGCCGTCCCTTAAGGCTTTGACCGTTTCTCGGCGTCGAGGAGATCCTCGACCGTGTCCTTCAGAGTGACCTTGAGCGGGGTGTACTGGATTCCGAGGACCTTCTGCGCCTTGCTTCCGTCCACCTGGTACACGGGCTCCGTCAACCCAGCTCCCGGAGTCCCACGAGGTACACGGTCCTGAATCTCGGGAAGCACCTCCCGAATGGCGTCGACGGCGGTTTGGTAGTCAAAGTGAGAACCCACGATGAATCTTTGTCCTCCGGCTTCTTCTCGCTCGTATGCTCGCAGGTGAGCGAGCGCGACGTCCCTGACGTCCGCGAAGCCTGCAAAGTCGACCGGCGGAACCTCCTTAGTGGATCCGTTGACCAGTTTCCAGATGGCCTCGGTGGACTCGTTGAGGTGATGGAGGGACCTGATCCCGTGCAGAGAAGGGCCAAAGATCCATGGAGGATTGAGAGTCGCAAAGCTGAACGGCGGCTTCTTGGCTTCTACCCAATCCCAGGCCGCCCTCTCTGCCAGCGCCTTTGCGGCACAGTACGCGACCGCTCCACTGGGGGTGTCTTTTGCCTCTTCATACGAGCAGGGGTTCCAATCCGCCTCAGTGTAGGCGTAGCCTGGACGTGACCCTTGGCCGAGGTCAAGGATGGACGCGAAGGAAGCCGTCAGCACCACACGATACAGTGACTCCCCCTGGGTCGCGGCGGCCTCCAGCATATTCAGGACACCCGCGATGGAGGGTTTCAAGAGCTCGGCCTCGTTATCCTTGGGCTGCAAGATGAACGGGTTTGCGGTGTGGACAATGCCCGAGACACCCTGGACTGCCTCGCGGAGGGCACCCGGAGTGGCTATGTCGGGCACGACCGCAAACGAGAGTCGACCGGCGTGCTGAGCATGGGATTTCTCGATCACTGCAATAGATCTTTCGGATCTGACCGTGCCACGGACGTTGTAGCCAGCCTCCAGAAACGCGTGAGTGACGTGCGAGGCCAGAAACCCAGAGACGCCAGTGATGAGAATGGTTTGTTCGGATGGAGGAGGGCGACCCATGACGACTGGTGACTGGTGACTGGACGTCTCGGATTGACGTAAGTACGGAATAGTGCAAACGGTGACAGTGGTCCAGCGAACGTTTGTTGCTCGTTGCTTTAGGCGCCTGCCACTTGAAGTGATTGATTCATCATGCGTCCAAGGTGATGAACACCTGGACTTCTTATACCCAACAACGAGATCCCTCCTACGGCCAGGGAGGCGCTTCTTCGCAACTCCGCCCTGACCGAAGTGTCCTATCGGCAGCAAAGAAACCACCTACTCTTTACAGGAACGACACCCTCCCACGGATTTAGACTCTTTGGCTCGACAAAGGCCGCATGGCGATAGAACTCGCCATATGTGTGGTGATGACTAACCTGTGAGATGCGGCCGCCCAACCCGCGTCTGACTCAGCCATTGCATTATCCTCTCTTCTCACTTCCTACTTCCCACCGTTCCCAACTTTCATCAGTGCTGATTATGATTACAGCTGGAAAGGATGCTGCGCAGAAGCCCGAGCCCCGAGGAGTGTGCCCGCACCAGCAACACCAGGCGTTCACCACAGATGGAATCCGGAATCCTCCACCCGGATGGAGGCACGGAGATTCACGCGTCTCCGGCCGTGGCTCTCAAGTCCCAAAGAGCTTCGGGTCTACTGCGCTTCAATCGGTGGGATAGGGATATCATTCACTCGTGATAGCCAATATCCTGATGTTGTGCTCCGGGAGACAATGAAGAACCATCCGGTGCTAGTATTCGCCCTTGGCTCGGCATCAAACATTCGTCGCTAGAGACACAATACATAATGGTGTCCAGAGGACCTAGGGCCCCTTAGCCCCCCATTGCGCTAAATTGCACAGCCACCAACCGTCGTGAACAGTCACTCTTGGCCAGATTGATGCCTCCAGCCTCGCGAGGCTCACCACTAACCTTAAGATCTTCAGCCACAATGCGGGTCTTATGCTGTCTGCCTAGGTGGATTAAGATTGCCGACCGTCGCTGGCCTATGTCGCCCTCTCGAGTCCGGCAGCCTGGCGTCCAGAGACCTCTAAGCGGTGACGAGACTGCCTCGCCATCCACGCCACCAAGCCGCCGGCTTCATTGGCATTATTTGAGGCAGTGACAAGGCACGAACGTGCAGGCTACAACTACTGTGACCAACCAAGGTGGAGTCCGGGCGGCGAATTTTGAAACTATAATGGCAGGCAGACTCCAATGTACTGCCTCCTTGCGCGGGTATTTGAGGTTGGACGACCCTCCCGACCGACGTTAATATTGATGACCAGGACGTCTTTTCGATCGTTGACGGTGACGTGTTTTCCCCGTCGCGCTTCTCTGCCTTGACGCGCATCTTTCTCTGTTCGTGACCTGGCCGAACCACACCAGTCAACTGAACCTGAGCCTGGTGACAGATCAAGCGCCGTTTGACAGCGAGAGTTCACAAAGCCGAAGGAGCAAGCAGTCAAATGGCGGGGAGGTTTCCTTTTATCGGCGGTTCTGCCCTTCGTTCCAGCTTTCAAAGATCCGGGTCCACTCCATCCATCCGCACCATGGGCAGTGCCACCACGCTAATCGATCAGTCAGCCGAGGACTTCATCATGGTCGACGATGGCCGTGATCTCCCGATCCGACCGCGCTCGACTGCACCCGAAGATTCTCCTGCCGTCGAGGTGCAACCCCTCGTTGCCGACGATGCCTTCCTCGTGTCAGTGCGGACCCCGAAACTCCCCAAGGGCGGCCTCCAACGCGCCTCCTGTGACATCGTATTGGTGATCGATGTTTCGGCCAGCATGGACGCGGCGGCGCCGCTGCCAGAAGCCGAAAACGGAGCCGACAAAGAAGCGACCGGTCTCAGTGTTCTCGACCTGACCAAACACGCAGCGCGGACCGTGCTAGAAACGCTGGGCGAGGACGACCGACTGGGCATCGTGACCTTTTCCAACGACGCCAAGGTGGTGCAAAACCTCGTGCGCATGACCCCGGACGAGAAGAGCGCGACGTGGAAGCGCATCGACCGTCTTCAAACCAAGTCCAGCACCAATCTGTGGGCCGGCATCCGCCGCGGGTGGGAGGTGTTTGAACAGGCCCGCCCGGCAGGAAATGTCCAGGGGCTGTTTGTCCTGACGGACGGCCAGCCCAACCACATGTGCCCGCCACAGGGGTACGTAGCCAAGCTGGGCCCCATACTGACCATGGCGGCGCCCAAGAGACGCGGCATCCCGACCATCCACACATTCGGCTTTGGCTACCATATCAGGTCGGAGTTGATGCAATCCATTGCCGAGGTTGGGCACGGGAACTACTCCTTCATCCCTGACGCCGGCATGATCGGCACCGTGTTCGTCCACTCGGTGGCCAACTTGTTCACCACCCTGGGCACGTCGGCCACTCTCGAGTTGACGGTGACGGCCGCGAAGATGACCCGCCTGCAAGCCACGGGAGGGCTGCCGGTTGAAACGGGCCGGAACGGGATCACCCTGACCTTGGGCAGCATCCAATATGGACAGTCCCGAGATCTAGTGGTCGAGTGTCCCGGTATTGCCAAGGACGCCGTTATCCATGCCCACCTCCGGTACAAGCTGCCTGGCGGACAGGTACAAGATCGCCAGTCTCGGGCCTCCTTTGCCGACAAGACTACGCTCGATGCCGCGGTCGTCGACTACCATAAGAGTCGCGCCCAAGTCTGCGCTTTCCTGTCGTCCCTCTTCCCGATCAAGGACAACGGCGAACACGGCCCGGTGCTGAACTACGACCAGGTCGCCCTGGCACGCACCCGTTTGGATGCCCTCGTTGCATCGATTGAAACCCTACCGACGAAAGACGATCCGGCCGTCCAGTCCCTGCTGGCGGATCTGGCAGGCGACGATCCGGCCGGTCAGGTTGCCAAGGCACTGCTCTGGACGCATGAGCAAGGCTACTGGATGAAATGGGGCCGACACTATCTTCCCAGCCTGCTCCACGCGCATCAACGTCAGATGTGCAACACATTCAAGGACCCCGGCCCGCTGCGGTACGGCCAGGACAGTCCCCTGTTCGTCCACTGCCGTACCGAACTTGATACGGCATTCGACAATCTGCCAGCCCCGAAACCCAGTCTCCCAGAAAAAGTGGTGCCTGTCTACAGTGCGACCGGGCAGGTGACTGGTACCACGACTCGAGCTTACCAGTCGGTGCGGATGAGTAGCTACAACTCCCGCTCCGCACCATGCTTCGAAGGCAACTCCCGGATCGCCACTGCCGACGGGGCCGCGATCCCGATCAAGACGCTCACCGTCGGCACGTCGGTCTGGACGCCCATGGGAGCCCGTGAGGTCGCTGCGGTGGTCAAGACACGGGTTCGCCGCCACGACGAGGTCCAGTTGTGCCGGGTCGGGGAGCTGTGGGTGACACCGTGGCATCCGCTCCAGCACGAGGGCCGCTGGGTGTTTCCCATGGAGATCGCAGACGATACCACCGCGTTTGAGGGCGACGTCTACTCGGTGCTGCTGACCCCGTCGCGCCACGTCGCGGCCCACGCCGTTGAGGTTAGCGGCCAGGTTTGTGTGACTCTGGGCCACGGTCTTCTCAGGCGCCGAGGTGACGTGCGATCACATCCATTCTTGGGCCACTACCAACGAGTGGCGGCGAGTTTGTCTCGACTGCCCACGGACAAGCACGGACACGTGGAGAGTGGTGGCTTGCAGAGAAACGGGGTGACGGGCCTAGCTTGCGGGTTCATGGCGCCCCAGGAAACCGAGTCCATGTTGGGAGGGCCGACGATGAAAGCAGTATTGTGAAGGATCAGATAGGTGATGCAGCAGCCTTGTCGGTCAGAAGGGAGGGCGTTCCCTGGCCATGGCATGAATGTACGTGTATGATATGAGACCAGCATAACAAGATATGTGCACAGATATGTGGATTCTGTACTCCGTACTCTGGATGTGTGATTAGTCAGGTGAAAGAGGCCACGGCGGCGGATGAACTAAAAATGGCAACAGAAAAGGGGGCGGAAGGCGGCGATTAAGGGCCGGACACTGAAAACACGCCTAATAAGCCCGTGCGACAACAACGCCTCGTGGCTCCTTAGGCCCGCCTAGCGTCCGCAGCTCGGCTTAGCCTTAGGAGCCTTCTAAGCCCCTAAGCCTCCTAAGCCCTGGTTGCGCAGGAACCGGCGGGCGGCGGGGGGCGCCTGAGGCTGCAAGGCCAGGCGGTGTGCGACTCTACGGAGTACATACAGTGATTATTACTCTGTAATGCAGTGCTCAATGCAGTGCTAGCAGTGCTGGCAGTACTCTGGAGTCTGTATTGATGGCCTTTTAGCCCTAGCCCAAGCCTCTGTACACGGCCACCGCATAATCCCTACACCTCCTCCCACCACTCCCTACTCCGTAGGTAGATAATAAACTGCGCACCACCCCTCTTCTGCGTCCCTCCCACACCACACACTCAGACTCACTGTCAATCTTTTCCTCATCCTTTGCCGTCTGTCTTTCGCTGCGTTGCATCCTTCACCATGGCGTCCAAGGACAAGACGATTTCCTTCGAAGGTGAGGCCCATCAGCTTGGCCCGAGGCTGGATCTTAGCTGACCGGGCTGCACTGCACAGACTACCAGGGTTGCCTCACAGCCTATTTCGAATGGGCCGAGAGCTACGATTCCAAGGTCGGTGTCTTCTGCCTCTCTGTTTCTCGCCTCTCGCGTCTCGTCTTGCCTTGACCTAGGCCTCCTGCATCTCACTGACACTGACACGCCCGGATCTCTAGGACTGGGAGCGCCTGCGCAAGATTGTGGCCCCGACCGTCCGCATTGACTACCGCTCGTTCCTGAACAAACTGTGGCCCGCCATGCCGGCCGACGACTACATCGCCATGGTGTCGGACCCCAAGGTGCTGGGCGACCCGCGCCTGATGACGCAGCACTTCTGCGGCGCCTCCAAGTGGGAGAAGGTGTCGGACGACGAGATCATCGGCTACCACCAGCTGCGCGTGCCGCACCAGAAATACACCGACGAGACCCGTTCCAAGGTTTTGGTCAAGGGCCACGCCCACTCCTCCAACACCCACTGGTACAAGAAGATCGACGGCGTTTGGAAGTTTGCCGGCCTCAACCCCGATATCCGTTGGGGCGAGTACGACTTTGACAAGGTCTTTGCCGACGGCCGCGAGGAGCTCGGCGACAAGGAGAAGGCAGAAGAGGCCGACAAGGTCGCCAAGGAGGCCCAAGGCATTCCGGCCGAGTAGAGCGACAATGACACTCGACCGTCGCCACTTCAAGTGCTTGTTTCATGTACTCCGTAGACTGGATTCGAGGTTGAGGTCGAGGTCGAGGTCTCGGGTCGTGGTGGGTGGCAGAGACGGCCACGGCCACGGACATGGACATGGACACGGAATTGACATTGACCTGAAGGGCAGATGGAGTTGGGAACAGCCTTTCTGACTAGCAATCGGTCCTGGTCCTGGTCCTGGGCTCTTAGCCTGGCGAAGGAGTGGAAAAACTACCACGCTTGAAGTACAGCAACAGCGGACAATGAAGCATTCTGACCACGTCGTGTATTCCATGTCTCGTTGTCGTAAATTTATTACTGAAGCATAACCACAACCACAACCACATCTGCATCCGTTGACTTCTTGGCTGCATGGCCAGATGATCTACATATGTATTATCTGCTTCCCTTTCCCTAGTCGTGCAGTGCAGTCCCATCTGCTGCTGTACACGCGGACGGGGAGATGTTTCTTGAGCTTGAGCTTGGTCACCCTGGACAGCTTCCGAGCACGCATACGTGATGAATGTACGGTACGGATACGGAGACGGATACGGATACCAGATCTATGGCGGGAGGCGGGAGGAGGGAGGCGGGATTCAGTATCACTCAATCCAAGCGCCTAAGGGTACAGTATGGTGGCTCCAACACAGGGTTTGAGAGCACATCAACGAAAAAGATCGGTGGTGGTGGCTGTGACTATGGCTGGATTGGATTGTTATCTATATATCCATTTCCATCTCTTCCGCTCTCTCATGGAACACTCATGGTCCTGCTCTGCTTCTGCTTCTGCTTCTGCTTCTGCTTCTGGCTTCTGGCTTCTCGCCTCCGTTCGTCTCTTCAATGTCCTTGCCTGTCGCACGCTTGTCACAGCATCCCCGGACAGATCATGAGTGAGCTTCCCCCGGTGTGAAAACACGACAGCGTATGATGTTTCATTTAACCCGCGCCGTTGAACATGATTGGGTTCGAATTCACTGTTCTTGCCCTTCTGGTCTGCCTTTCCGTCAAATTTGAGCTGGAAAGTGGCTGGGCTTGGGGCTCTGTGCCAAGTTCGATGCTGGTCAGACTCTTCATTCTGGATTCAATGCTGGTCAGACTCTATCGTTCAGTCTGGATTCGATGATGGTCAGATTCTATCGTTCAGTCTGGGTTCGATGACCGATGATGGTCTCTCTTGAAGGGCCTGACTCATCGGCCTCCTCTTCAACTAGTAACAAGGCCTTTCGACAGTTGCCTTGATTCGTGATTGTGATGTCTCAACTCTGTTCCATGTGCGCACCTTGCAACTTGTAGACAAAGCACAACAGGTCGACGAGGAATCTTGAATCCACCACCGTCACTGTTGTGGGTGTTGGTTTCCGAGGGGACGAGGAGTGTCTGTCGGGCTTTTCCTTCCAGTTCCAGCTTCGGGGTGATTGTGCGAAGTGATGCGAATCATCCTATTGTCGAGTAGGACTCTATTGTAGTCTTCAGCTGGTCATCTGACTGGAGAAAATCTATTGCTGTGTGTTCATCTGCGTGGGCAGATGTTCAGCTTGTCATCACTTCACGACCTTGGCCCAATGCGGCGAGGTGTCCCCAATATTCATATGGAATGGTGGTATGGTGGTAGGCGATCTCATCTCATCTCATGCCGGGCCCAATCACAACAAATCGAAATCGTCCAGCTTGTCGCGATACTGCAGCACCTGCCTCTTGACCTTGCTGCCGTCCACCCAGGTGACGAAGTCCTCCATGCCTCTGGAGATCAAAAACGCCGGGTCGGTGACGACCTCGGTGCCGACGCGCACATGACCTTGCTCGACAAACTTGTGGGCGGTGCTGACATGCTCGACCATGCCGATGCGCACCATGACCACGCCGAGTCGACGTCTGCAGAAGGCCGACACGGTGATGTCCTTCTCTACGCTGCTCAGCCCGGCCCCTTGGCCGCGACTCTGTTTCAGGACGCCGAGCTGATGCAACTTTTCCAGCATGACCGTCTCCATCTCGACGCGGTAGGGGTCCGTGGGGTCGAGGTTGGACAGCATGTGGGCCAGTTGTCGCAACCGGCCGCACAACACGTTGTACTTGCTGTAGTCGAGCGGCTGGGTCAGGTGGTAGCGGCGCCGGACTTCGGCTTCGCGGTGAGACGCCTTATGCCCATCCGACTTGTAGCTGATCAGGTCGACCTTGCGCAGCAGCCGCGATTCGTGGTGCTTGAGTTTGCGCACCATGGCTGTGGAGGTGAGGAAGGACGAGGGATGTGAGGGATGTGTTGGTTATGTTGGTTGTGTTGGTTGTGAGGGATGTGAGGGTTGTGCTGGTTGTGTGGGATGTGGATGGAAAGTATTGGGTGGTCTGGAGGTGGTTCAGGGTGACCGAGGGTGGCTGAAGGTGCCCTTGACGTCTTCTGTGTCTCTGGGTTCACGGACAAGTTCAACTCGTGGTAAGGAGGATGAAGACAAAAATTCATGAACCATGTCGAGAGACGAATAATTTGCGGGGAATCTTAATGGTCGCCGAGAACGACGGTACTGGGCGCCGCTTTAATGGTTGACGCCGCTTGAGATGCCGACTGCGCGACCGAGGTTAGGGTTAGGGTTAGGGTTAAGAGTACTACCCGGTATTCACTATTTCACTATTCACCTCGTCGACAGTCTTGCTACAAACGACCCAGATTGACCTTGCGCAGGCTCCCGTGGCAATCACCAGTTGTTCATATTGCTCCACAGATCGAGGTCTTCCCATGTCAAAACGTCCTCGACCGCACGGTGGTGCTGCTCGTTAGTGAGAGGGTCGCCACCAGCATTGACATTGCCCCCGGGCCCATTGGCATCGTTGGTCCAGGTCTGGTGGGGGTTGGGCGTCATGCCCGGCGGAAGAGCCAGCGAGAGTGGTGCACGCGACGGACCTGTGTAGCTGTTCACCAGCGGCGGCCGGGCGTACTGGGGCCACTTCGAGTCAATCATGTTCCGAGCGACGTGGATGGGTCGGCCAAGCTGGTCCAGGGTGCGCCGAGCGAAAGCGAGGCCGTGGGATATGGCTTGCATGATCTTGAGGGATCGATGGAACAGATGGATGGCCGGGCGGACCACGTCGTCGGCATTGTCGCGGCGCACGATGATGCAGATCATGGGCACGATGGCCCCGGTGAGATGGAGGGTGTAGGCATAGCGATCGGCGCGTCGGGGCTCCTTGGACGAATAGTACAGCTCGACCGCGTTGACGACCTCGGTGGCGATCTCGATGCAGAGCCGCGCCGTTTTCTTCTCGTACCTCAAGCTCACCATCTCCTCGCGCCGCAGCAGCATGCGCAGGTGCCGGATGCGCAGATACAAGATGAAGCTCTGCTGGGTGATGAAGGCCGGCAGCTGCTCGTGGCCCTGCTCGTCGGCCGGCGGCCACGACAAAAACCGCGGAGCGCCCGTCGACAGCTGCATGATCTTGTCGTCGGTCGCGGCCACGAACTCGGGGCTGATGGGCTTCTGGGCGCGCACGCCGAACATGGCATCCCAGATCTCGGAGGACAGCTTGGCCCAGCGGACGATCTCCAGCAGGAGTGGGATCGGCGAGGCCTTGGGGATTTCCGGCAAGGGCGGGCAGTTGGGATACAGCATGCGGTCGTCGACGCAGCGCGGCAGGTCGACGTCGAAGTCCAGGTCGCAGATCAGATCGGGCGCGCCGGCATTCTGGGCCACGTTGTGGTTGAGGCAGTAGATGCACCAGAAGACGCGCTGGCGGTAGGTGCGGTCGTAGAAGGTCAAGTTGCACGCCTCGCCCCAGGCCGGCTCGTTGTGCAGGCCCTGCTGGAAACACAGGCGCACCGCGGTGCCCATGGTGTCGTAGGCGGCATTCAGCTTCGACACGTAGACGTAGTACGACGCCTTGACCAGCAGGATCTGGATCGTCACCATGTTGGCCATCTCCAGCCAGGTCGTGTGGACGAGCAGCTTCTCGGCCCGGCAAAACTCCTTCCAGCCGGGCACGTAGTCGTCCTGGCTGCCCGGGGTGCCGGGGTGCGTGTCGTGCAGGATGTGCGCCACCGCCATGATGAAGTTGAGCAGCGTGGCGAACTGCAGCGCCACCCGGTGGCCCATGGCCATGCCCGGCATGCCCGTCTCGTCCGCCGCCGCCAGGAAGCCGGCGAGCTGCGAGCGGAAGTGGGCTTCGTTGATGCAGGGGAGGAACGGGTGCACGTTCGTGAAGTACATGTCCACACACTGCCGCATCGCGTCCAGATCCGCCTGCCGCGTCTGCGCGACGATCTGGTCGATGTCCGGCCGCATGGTGGCCACCGAGCTCTCCAGGTCGACCGCCTGGCCCCGGCCGCCCGAACAGCTGGGCGACGTCGTGCCAAAGTCGCCGCCGTGGCTGCCATGGTCGCGGGCAACGGACCGGTCGAGCAGGTCGATCTGGTGGAAGAAGGACGTGCCGCCCACGAAGGTCGTGTTTCGCTCAAACACGTTCTCTCGCGCCGCCTCCTGTGTGGTGCTGGTGCCGGGGTCAGTGGGAGCCGACGGCCTGGGCCTGGGCCTGGCCTGGGCCCGAGTTCTTGTCGGTGGCAGCGAGCCACGTCCTCGTTGCAGTTCGCCAGCAGACGAGCGGGAGGGGACCTCGTGGACCCCGGCACGGCTGTGCTCCGGGCCTTTCAGCGCCGCCAGCTCTCGTCTCAGCATCTCGTACTTCTGCTCGAGGGCCTGGGTGCGCAACGTCAGCTCGCGGTTGGCGTCGGCGTGGTCGTCGGCCATTGGCCTGACCGGCGACGAGATGGAGAGTTCCGCGTAGGGTTGAAGGTCGACGTCGACCGCACTCCAATGGCCGCCAGTCGAATCGGGCGGCGACAGTTGCGTGAGGCGGCGCGGCTTCGAGAATCGCGACGGAGCCGGCGAATACACACAGTCGCTGTTGGTGTACCGGCAGTTTTTGCACACCGTTTCGCCGCTGCATTTCCTCTTGCGGCGTTGACATTCGAGACACGCATGTGCCGTGTATTTCTGACGCACCCGGGCCCGCGATTCATCGCTGCCGACCATGGCTCTGGCTCCTGCCTCTTGTTATGCTGGACTGTTAGTTAATATCAGCACGATCAGAGTCAGAGAATAGGGACAGCATGGAAACTAGGAGGCTCCGCTCTGGGATACTGGACGCCGTCCAGATGGCTGACCCTGACGCTGACCGTAGCGGCGGGGAGAGGAGCAACAGTCAATCATACTGAGAGAGATACAGAGTCGACGCCTGACTTGAACCGGAGTGAGACCTTGTTTCCTCCCCCACAATCATGCATGACGAGAACGGGTGGGGGAAGTGTGATGGACAAAAGACGGAATGGCGGAACCCCGGAACTGGAACTGGGGGGCCAGAGAAAGGAAATATGATTTCCAAGGCGGACCGGACCAACCAAGGGACACAGTTGGTGAATGCCTCTGGGTGGAGAGAAACATAGATAGATGTCCTCGGAGGAGATATCTCAGGCATGCATGCATGTATAGATGCGGGCATTGTCTACGGTAGACAGTCACGGTAGATAGTCATCACCATCCCATCCCCATCACGTCCACATCGCGGTCCCATGTCCACCTCAATGTCGCTGAGCCTGCCCGGGGTGGGCTTCATCACGGGGGCGGCTAGTGGCATCGGGCGACAGACGGCGGTGCTGTTCTCCCAACTGGGGGCGCGCGGCCTGATCCTGTGCGACGTGAACGGCAGCGGGCTCGACGAGACGCAGGCTCTGATCGCGCAGGCGAACGCGGCGACCTCGGTGCGCGTGCAGGTGGTCGACGTGACGGACGAGGCTGGCATCCGGGCCATCATCCGCGCGGGCGCCGCCGAGTTCGGCCGGCTGGACTACGCGGTCAACTGTGCGGCGCGGCCGAACCCGCGCGGGCTGGTGGGCGACACGGCGTCGGAGGTGGTGAGCGACACGCTGGCCGTCAACACGGTCGGCGTCTTCAGCTGCCTCTCGGAGCAGTGCCGGGTCATGAGTGCGCAAGAGCCGCTGGCCAACGCGCGCGGGCGCCCGGCGTGCCGCGGCGCCATCGTCAACGTCGCCAGCATCATGGGCCTCGTCGGCATGCCGGAGCTGGCGCCCTACGTGGCCTCCAAGTTCGCGGTCGTCGGCCTGACCAAGAACGCCGCCCTGGAGTACGCCGGCCACGGCGTGCGCGTCAACGCCGTCTGTCCCGGCCAGACCCTGACCCCGGCCATGCACGCCGGCTTTGCCGCTTCACAGTCCTTTCGAGACCGCAAGGCCGCCCTCGAAGACGGCCTCATCCCTTTGAGACGGCTCGCCCTGCCAGAGGAGATGGCCGACTGCATCGCCTACCTGGTCAGCGACATGGCCAGCTTTGTCACCGGCCACGCCATGGTCGTCGATGGGGGTTTCACTGCCCGCTGACCCGTCGCCAGCAACAGCCTAGTGCGTGGCTACCAACCAAAGCAAAAGGACGGGAATGGCAGGTGGAAGTGGAAGTGGAAGTGGAAATGGAAGTGGAAATGGAATTAGAATTGGAATTGGAGCGGGCCGGAATCCTGGGTGGAAACGGGAGCGGAAGCGGAAGTGGAATCACCATGTGCCAAATTCGTGTACCCCACTGAGGCCCAGTGTCAATGTATCCCCTCTCCACCCGCAATACTCGGAAGTGGTACTGGTACTACATGTACAGTATATACTTATGGGACGACATATAGTTTGGGCTGCGCAGAACAACCACAACCCTCACGCGAGAAATGATGAGATGATCCCTTTGCAGTACAGACCAAACACAGACAGACACAGATACAGATCTGATTAGACTTCACCGAAAGTTGCAGCATATGCCAATATTGATACTATGCTGTGGGAGAATGGCTTGATATCCCACAGTGGTTTGTTCTATAGTAGTATAATAGCTTGCTTAGTTCCGATCCGATGCCTCGAGTAAGCCAGAGCCAGAGCCTGAGCCAGAGCCAGAGTAAATGGCCCGGCCGGTCAAAAGCCTTGTCGTCCTCCATTCACCGACAGCGTGGTGCCGTTGATGTAGGAGGCGCGGCCGCTGGAAAGCCAAACAATGGCCTGTGCCAGCTCCTCGGGATCGGCATATCTGCCCAGGGCGATGATCTTCAACAAGGCCTCCAGCTCTTCCGGCTTTTGGGGCGGCAGATTCTTGGTGATGGGGGTCGTCACGGCTCTGTCGAGATGAGATGGTCAGAACAAGAACAAGAACATGACAATACGGCAGGAAGGAGAAGGCGAAGGCGAAGGTGAGCGCCGGGCTGGACATTGTCATATTACCCTGGACAAACGGTGTTGATGCGGATTCCCTCGGGACCATACTTCATCGCATCGGACTTGGACAGGCCACACACGCCATGCTTGAAGGCCGAGTAGGCCGGCAGATCCGCATACGCCATCTGGCCCGCCAGCGACGAGACGTTGACGATGGCGCCGCGGATGGGGTATTTGGAATCCTTCGAGGCCAGAGGCTCCTGCTGGCGCAGGACGCGCAGCTCGGCGCGTTCGCAGAAGAAGACGCCGCGCAGGTTGACTTCGTATTGCAGTTCAAAATCGGATGTCTGGACCTCGGCCGTGCCGCCGCCCAGCACGATGCCAGCGACGTTGCAGCAGTAGTCGAGCCGGCCGAATCTCGCGACCGCCTTTTCCACCAGGCTGTCGACCGAGCTTTCGCTTCGCAGGTCGACCGGCACCGCCAGCACATCGGGACCGGCACCAGCCCCAGCACCGCCGTGCGACTCGGCGATGAGAGCCTTGGTCTCTTCCAGCCCAGCCTCGTTGATGTCGCTGATCACGATTCTCTGGCATCCCTCGGCCGCAAACAGCAGACTCGTCGCCCTGCCGATGCCAGACGCGGCACCGGTGATGAAAGCCACTCCGGGAAAGTCCATGGCTCTGAAGACAGATGCTCGCGCCGCAAGAGGAGGGATGGCAATGGCAGTGGCACAATCTGAAGTAGAAGGACAAGGACAAGTATAAGCACAAGCATAAGTACAAGCACACGCTGCTACTTAAAGGCCCCAGAAACAACCCTAAGCGACTCCAACGGCCGGGCTGGTACGGCTGGGCGAGAGCGGAGAGAGCTTGAGTCGAAGATGGACATGGAGATGGCTGGCCTCGGAATCGTCGCAGCCTCATTCCGCCGTTCCGCCAGCACTTGCATGCACCACACCACGTAGGGACGACTAGTAGTAGCAGGTGACATACCCACCAGATGCATGTCTGGGTGAGTGATGAGGGGGTTAAAAGTGAAGAGAGTCGAGTTGCTGAATGCTGAATGCTGAATGCTGAATGCTGAATGACAACTGTCGACTGCGCCGCCACCATGTCCCAGGTCAGTTCCGCGATGGACGTCAATTATAGAAACTAAAGGAGCCACGTTAACAGATACAGGGTATTCCACCTCCTCCCTCTCCTCCTCCACACAACCGGCCGTTGAACCACATCGGCGTCGCGGTGCCAGACTGTGAGGCGGCGGTGGCGTGGTACACTGCGGTGATGGGGTTTCGGCAGCTGGGGACGACGATCCGCACCATCGACCGGTCCAAGACGCCCGACTCGGTCATCTTCCAGATCTACGACTCGCGGCTGCAGGTGGTCAAGCTGGCGATGCTGACGACGGCCAACAGCGTCGGGTTTGAGCTGTTCGAGTTTGTCGAGCCCAAAATGTCCCAGCCCGCCGCCTTCGACTACACGCGCGGCGGCGTCTTCCACGTCTGCATCACCGACCCGGATCCCGACCGCTTGGCCGAGAGGGTGGTGGCCGCCGGAGGCAGGAAGTTCGGCGCCACCGTCGGCCTGTATGGCTCGCAGGACAAGGCTCTCTATGTCCAAGACCCCTGGGGCAACGTGCTCGAGGTCATGAGTTGCAACTTCGAGCACGCCATGGCCAATCGCCCAGAGCTATAACCATGCCCCAAGGCTGCTGTCGGGGTCGCCGGTCGAGTCGGCGAGGCTCATGCCCTGTCGTTCGCGGTCACAAGTCCTCTCACGGGACGTGGAATAAGGGCGGAAATGAGACAGCCACGTGTAGAATATGTCCTCCGTCGTATGATTTTCTACCAGGTATGGAGCATTCTGAAAGCTACTACGTAGAGGTTGGGCACCCCACAAAATGTAGACTGTAGGTCCCTAGGTCCTCCGTGCGGAGACCGATACATACTCCGTACACATACCGGTCCCCCTAACAACTGTACTAGCACTATAGTTCCATGGTAGATATATGTACGGAGTACTCTTGTATCGGATATCCCTTGATCATTCATAGACGAAATGCCCTATCTTCCCACCAGAACCAACACAACCCATCATCACGTTGTAGAGACCCATATCACCCACCATCTCAGTGCGGCCGGTCACCAGCGACGCTCTTTCACAATGACCGGAATCGAGCCTTTCAGAAGCGTCAGGTTCGACCTGATGCCGTCCTCAAAGGCGGCCTGATTGAACGACGGACCCAGCCGGATGTCCAGGCGCTTGAGCACAATGACCAGGAAAAGGCGCATCTCCAGCAGGGCCAGCGGCTTGCCGACACAGGCGTACTGGCCGACGCCAAAGGGCATGAGGGCTTTGATGTTGTGGTTCGGGATCTTCAGGCGTTCGCGCTCCCGCTCGGAGATCCATCGCTCGGGAATGAACTGCAGCGGCCGGGAGAAGTTGCGCTCGTCCCGCTGGACGCTCCACTTGTGCACGCTGACCTGGGTGTGTTCGGGGATGAATGTGCCGTTGACGCTGTGGCCGCCGCGCGGGGTGCGGCGCTGGTTGCCGTTGGGATCGGGCGGGTTGATGCGCAGCGACTCGTTGATCGCGCCGTTCAGGTAGGGGGCCTGGGCGGACGCGAGCTTCTGGCCGTCGAGCTCGCCCCGGCCGTCCCAGAGCCGGTCGACCTCGGCCTGCAGTTTCAGGTACTTGTCGCGGTCCCGGAGCAGGTAGTAGAACAGGTAGGTCAGGCACACGCTGCTGGTGTCGCTGCCCGCCACCACCACGATGACCGACTCCTGGCCCACCTCCTTCTTGGTCAGCGAGACGTTGGTCTTGGGGTCCGGCTGCAGCAGGTACGAGGTGAGGTCGTCGCGGTCCGTGCCTCGCTTGTATCGCTCCTCGAACCGCTCGAACGTGGCCCGGGCAAACGCCAGCCCGTCCCGCTTCACCTGTCGGTTGATCGGCAGCGTGCGGTACAGCGTCTTGAACCACGGCACCGCCGACACCAGCGCCAACATGCGCATGTACGTGCCCAGCATGGCCGCGAACTCGTGCGTGCGCCCCTCGCGAATCATGCCGAAGTCCTGGCCGAAGCTGAGGTCGCCCATGGCGTCGAACGAGTAGTAGTCGATCCAGTGTGTGATGTCGATCTCCTGCTCTTGCCCTTGCCCTTGCCCTTGCCCTTGCCCTTGCCCTTGACCCTGCCCCGGACCTTGCTGGGACCTCGCCACCAGCTGGTCGCAGAGCTGGTGCACCAGCTCGATCAGGCGCGGCTCGTACGTCTTGAGGGCCGGCAGGCTGAATCCCTTGTCCCAGAAGCGGCGGCGGAACCGGTGGATCTCTGCGTCGCGTGTGCTGATCATGATGTCGGCCGACCGCGACGGATTGCCCTCGTACCACGGTCCTTTGGCAATCATGGTGCCTTTGGCGCCGTGCAGGTACGTGATGGCCTCGGGGTCGATGAAGGACAGCTCGTTGGGCCCGAACCGCACGATGTCACCGTACTGCTGATGGAGTCCCTCGAGCCACTGCTGGATCTGGCCGCTGCGCGCCACGTATGACACGTACCACTTGGAGATGGAGGGCAGCACCGGGCCGGGGAATCGCCGCAGCGGGTGGAAGAAGACGCGGTAGCTGGCCACCGCCAGCCCCAGCACCCCGATATACATGGCCTCCCCGGACAAGATGTGGGATGCCAGCGACGCTGCGCTGCGCACGCCGCCGTGCAGGAGAAACCAGACGGCGGGCACGTGTAAGAGCGCGAACGTGCCTATGAACTGCAACACACTGGGCTCCCACCGCCTGAACACGAACTGACTGACCAGCGCGGCCACGATGGCCCCGACTTGGAACTGGCCGCCCACCTCGCCCAGTTTGAACACGGCGCGCTCCAGCTCCATTGCCATTGCCATTGCCATGGATTCCTTGTGTTATTGTGTTATTATGTCACAGCCGTCCAGGAAAAGCTTCTAACACCTGGCCTGGTCGCTCAGAAAGGATGGTATTTATGGCATGGCCGTGCCAGCCGCTGGAGGGGGTGCGGCAGTGAGAGCGGTTGCGGAAGGCGGGAAGGCGGAATTGCACCAGGCGGTTGCGAAGGAAATCGGAGGCGGAAGTCTGCTCTCGACAGTTTCTGGCTGTTGGTCATGCGGTACGCCGCCTGTGGAAGACCCTGGTTTCCTTTTCCATGCCATGCCGTCGCTTGCTGTCCCCTTGCATGTAGTTGAGCTTTCCGCCCAAACGCACCCTGTCTGATCAGGCCTGAGACCGAGCAGGAAATTAGGAGCAGAAACAGATGGAATCCTTCAAATCATTCCCAATACGAAGAACGGACATGCGTTTTCACCGTCACGTCCGACCTAAATGGAATCCTCAAATCATTCCGAAGGCCAAGAAGAAACGGCTGTTTTTATAGTGGCGTCTGAACAGATGAGTTCCTCAAATCATTGCATTGCTTGCGTACAGTAGACCGACCAGCTTGAATGGGCACGCCCGTCCCCAACCACTCTCGCCGCGTAAATATCACAACCGGAGCTCCCAGACTACACCCTCGGCATCGGCATACATGCTCCCTCTCACAAGGCGGCGACTTCACGCTCCTCCAAAGTCCCGGTGACGTCCTGCTTCTCTTGCTCGCCATGGATCTCGGCCACCACTCGGTGCGCTTCGAGGTCGACGTGCACGTCCTTCTGATACACCACCACCAGGTCGTCGTCTCCAAAGAGCGCGGCGATCTCTTCCAAGCTCTTGCCTTGGGTGTTGGGGAAGAAGGCCCAGATGATGACGCCGCCGACAAAACTCAAGATGATAAAGACCAAGAAGTATCGCCAGCCGATGTTTTTGATGGCGGTGGGCGTGACCTGCGTCCACATGATGCTGAAGAGCGTGAAGGTGCCAATGGTGATGGCCATGCCTTTCGCACGCAGATGCGTCGGAAAGAGTTCAGGGGCATAGTAGTAATAGGGACCTTCGACGAACGCCCCGTAGGCCACGAAGAACAGATAGGTCATGGAGACGGCGGCCGCCTGGCCGGCCTTGTGGGTGGTGCCAATGTACACTTTGCTGAGGGCGGCGAAGCACGCCACCACTACGGCACAGAGAATGAGGCCAATGCCAATCAAGGTTGGTCGCCGCATATGCTCGGTGTAGAAGACGCAGGCCAGGCCGCCGACAATGGAGGTGGCAAAGATGCCCGCGTTGAGCAGCAGCTGTTTGGCCGGACTGTAGCCCAAGCCCTCGTAGAGGGACGGGCCAAAGGTGGCAATGACCACGCCGCCCGTGCCGGTGATGGAGAAGACGATGAAGATGGCCATGAAGACGCGCTTGCGGTACGAGGGCCGGCGCAACAGCTCGACCCAAGACGCGTTGAGGGTGCGGTCGAGTTCGATCTGCTTGCGCATCTGGTACATTTCCTTCTGCACGAACTCGTGGTTGGCGTTGCTGGCGGTGGAGTGCAGCCGAGCCGTGATCTTCAAGGCTTGCTCGTGCCGGCCCTTGAGCAGCAGAAAACGCGGCGATTCTGGCGTCCACCAGAGCCCGGCCAGCAGGACGAGGCACGGCAGACAGCCCAGCGCGAGCGGCGCGCGCCACACGTTCTCGCCCGCGCCCTTGTAGTAGAAGAATCCGACGCCGACGTAGGACGAGAGGATATATCCCACCTGCAGCAACACCCCGTTCAATTGGGCGAATGCCCCGCGCACGCCCGGAGGCGCGCACTCGGTGATCCACAGCGGCACCAACATGGCCAACATCAAGGCGCCAAACCCGTTGATGAAGCGGAAGGCGATGAACATGGCGATGTTAACCGACCCGGCCAGGATGGCGGTCGAGATCAACGTCGTGACGGCCCCGACCGCGATGGCCGGCTTGCGACCCCAGCGATCGGCGATGTATTCACAGCAGATGGCCCCGAAGAAGCCGCCGGCAAAGTACAAGGAAGGGATGGCCCCGATGATGGCCGCCGCGTTGGGGTTGGTGTTCAGCCCCATGTACTCCAGGAACGAAGGCTGACCGAGCGTGTTCGAGATGACGCTGACCGAGTATGCGTACGACACGGACCCGAAGCACATGAAGAGGATGACGAGCACCGTCTTGACATTGTATTGCCTCCCTGGCCCCACGCTCTCGATCTCTCGTTGCGTCGTGTGAAATTTCACCATGGTAGCCTTGATAGCTCGATCCAGTGCCCGGTCTCTGTATCCAAGAGAGACGCCGATGGCTGCCCGTCTGTTTACGCGAGATACCCCAGAATTTATGGCCCCGGTCGAGCTGCCCCGGACTGCACGAGGGATTTGCGGGGTAGTCGTATCTGATTCCGCCTTCCGCCTTCCCCTTGCGCCTTCCGCCCGGAATCGTCGAAGCGATCAGTGGGAGAAGGCTCGGCTGCTTCAGTCATATTGGGTTCTGCAGCATGGTTTCTTCGTGTCAGGTCGACGTCGGCGGGCCTGAACAAATCTGATCAGACTCGTTCCGCGGACAGGATGGACTTCCGGGGGCTTCCTCCGGGCAGCGGACAAGGGGAGCATTTTTCGAGTGTGGGCTGGTTGGTCATCTCACACTCCAGGGCCTGCATGTCGGATTGGGTGAGATGTTGATGCGAAAGTATTCAAATCAACCCGACCTGCGACCTGTCGTGGCTTCTTCCAAGCAATCATAGCGCTGAGACCATTCCGCGTCCAGGCGTCCGTGAGATGGCTGGCACGACGAACCAGGACCAGAACCAGAACCAGAACCAGGCGAGCCAGTAAGACCAGGGTTAGGGTTAGGGTTAGGGTTCGTTGGGTGATGATAAGATAAGCACTGGCACGGTGGAGCATGAATACCACAACTGCAATGCCACCGACACTGCCAGACGGAGTTGTTACGGCATTAAATCCAGAGAGGTAGAGCTGAATAGCTAAATTTGGTCTCTCGCTACGGAAAATGATGGCCCGGCTGGCCACTACCTATTGATTGCCTCAGTACCTATTGCCTAGGACTAGTTACACAGGTGGTAGGTGGGTGGATCTCAGGTTGGTCTGAGGCACTCCATACTACGGAAAAACATGGCCCGGCTTGGTCAGCAAAGTGTAGTTGGCCAGTTTGCCACGAGCTCATTACGGCCGAATCACCTGAGGAGAGTCCCCGTTTTTTGATATAGATATATTGATAACATAGTTGGTTACACCTACCTTATTTGGGTAAGTAGTAATAGTATATAAATTAGACGGCGGCACCTGGGCACACCGAGGCATCTACCTAGTAACAATCGTGTATACCCAGTATAGAGCAGTAGATGCCGGTGTCGAGGTTTTCCCCCTTTGCGATCTACCTATAGCCATCCCTTCATTTTGTCCGGTCTCTTCGCGACTCCCACCAAACCACCGCCACCGCCGTCGCCATGAAAGCCATCGTTATGCAGGGCGAGCCTGGAAAGGCATCGCTCGTAGATCGGCCATTCCCCAAACTCCGGCCGGGGTATGTGCTCGTCGACGTGAAGGCCGTTGCGCTGAACCCCACCGACTGGAAACACATTGACTTCATCAACACCAAAGGCAGTCTGTCAGGCTGCGACTTTGCCGGCGTCGTCGCCGAGACCGGCACTGGATACTCCAAACAGTGGAAGGTGGGCGACCGTATTGCCGGGTTCGCCAATGGAGGCAATAATCTGCAGCCGGAAGACGGATCTTTCGCCGAAAGGATTGCCGTCAAGGCTGATGTGGCGATACGTATTCCGGACAGTCTGTCCTTTGAAGAGGCGGCCACTCTGGGGGTGGGCGTCATCACCTGTGGGCAAGGCCTGTTCCAGAAAATGGGTCTGCAGCGGCCGAGTCAACCCACGACCAAGGGAGAGTTCATCCTCATCTACGGGGGGAGCTCAGCAACAGGGACTTTGGGGATTCAGTTCGCAAAGCTGTGAGTTTGACCCTCCGCGTGTCTCGTTGTCGATGCTGCCTGCTGACTGCTGACCTGATAACCAGCGCCGGGTACACGCCCATCACCACCTGCTCCTCTCGCAATTTTGACCTGGTCAAGTCACTGGGCGCAGTCGCCGCCTTTGACTATAAGGACCCCGATGTCGCCTCGCAGATCAAGCAGTTCACCAACAATGACCTCCACTATGTCTGGGACACCATATCACTTCCGGCGAGTGCCCAGCTCTCCGCCGAGGTCATCGCGCCGGGAGGCAGATATGGCTCCCTCTTGCCCGTCAAGTTCCCGCGGGACGATGTCAAAGCAACCGACTCCCTGGGGTATACCGCAATGGGGGAACCCATCGAGAGGGCTGGCTATTCGCTGCCGGCCAGCACCGCTGATTTCGAATTCGCCAAGAACTGGGTCACCGAGGTGGAGGCTTTATTGCAACAGGGTCGGTTGAAGGTCCATCCGCACAAGGTGGGCAAGGGACTGGAGAACGTGTTTGACGGACTCCATCTGCTCAGGCACGACAAAGTCAGCGGGCAAAAGCTGGTGTATGTGTTGTGAAGGGGGAAGGGCTTAGAAGGCCAGTGGCTCAATGGCGGTCGCAGGTGGCAGTGATCCACCGCAGTTCGCGTCACCAGCCACAAGGCCAAGGGGCATACTCCCTAGACTCTGCAGTTGGCCTTGTTGCCTGGTACAGAGTGGGTGTCACCAGTGGCTTTGCCGCATGACGCAGTCATCTTGTCGACCTGTCAACCTTGAACCAAGTAACCACCAGTGTCCCAGTTGAACCCTGGTGGCCCTCCGCCCTCCGCCAGCCATATTATCTAGCTTCCTCCATGCAGCATTAGATCTAATTTGAAGTCTAGTTGACTATTATCCTTGCAATGCCCCGGACCCATGACATGCTTGTGCGACCCAGGCCACGTAACGTGTGACCCTTCCAAGGCTCTCCAACTTTTCAGGCCGCCCCCCGTACCTTAGATATGGGTACCTGAGCCTCTGCGCCCTTCTCTGTTCTCTCCCTCTCAATGTCTCCAGCGATGTCGACCGAGACATCGACCCCGGCGCAGAAAGTCGCGACCAATGGAGAGGTCACAATCCCCATCATCACTATCGACCGTTCCCCGTCGACGCACGAATCGATTCCTCCTCCAGGACAGTTGCTGACGGGCAAGCAAGAGCATTATCTGAAGCGAGAGCTCATTGCAAGACAAGTCCATACCGAGATCCAAGAGCTGAACAACCCAACCGCCCTCCAGCGCTTCGGCGCACCTTTCCGTTCGGAATATGGCGAAGTCTCACCCACCGACTCCGAACTGCCTATCCTCCGCTTCATCTTTGTCAATCATGTGCGAAACTTTCCATTCCTCGACAAGGCCAAAGAGAAGGAATTCTGGCAGGACAAGGTCCAGATTTTCCTCGAGTCGTTTGCCAGCAAGTACATTTCGTCGTCCGAGGACCGCCTGGAGGAGACCAAGCGGCGCAAGTTGGCCACCAAATGTGAAAAATTGGTCGAGCTGATGATGGTGTCTGGAATACCCACGGCTTCGGGGTACGAAGAAAGAATCCGGTTCGCCGAGATGGAAGTGGTGGAGCGAGGCGCCAACGAACAAGGCCTCCTGGTCAACATACCTGAAGGAAACTTCATCAACGGCTGGGACGTCAACGTTGCCGGGGTCAGATTCACCTCGGTCAAGCGCACCGTTCGCTACCACAAGCACGCCGAGTTCTTGATCCGCGTCAAGCGGCCCGATCAGCCCGAGTTCTACGTGGGGAGAAGATATGGGCAATTCGCCAGATTGCACAAAAGATTGCGCACTGAGATGCCCGGCAAGGTGCTCCCACCCCTGCCGAGGAAAAACAAGTCGTCGACCTTCTCCACCATGTCTGCAGGGGACGACGATGCTTCCTCGGAATCTTCTGTCTCTACCCTGGCCAGTGTCTCGGAGGAGGCGAGCTCGGGAAAGAATCTGGCCCCTGGACATCGACGTGGCAAGTCCAGCCTGTCTCTCAGCGCGGGTCTCGGGATGGGCTCACCGAGGAGTCGGACGTCCCCACGATCCAGCGTCTCCAGAGACCGAAGTGTTAGTCCGAACCCCGTTCGACTCCATCGCGAAGACCAACGGGTCTCCCTCCGAGCTTTCCTCCGGACTCTACTGCAGAATCCCCAGATCGCCGAGTCCAAAGCCACGGCCGAATTCCTGACCATGCAGCCGGTGACTCTGAACGAGGAGGAGCTTGAGGACATTGACCGGCGGAAAGGTATGGATGCACGGCGCCTGGAGGAACAAAAACGGTTCTATGAGATTGCTCGGCAACGAGCTGCCGAGCTTGACATCTACATGGAGCAATTCCGGCGGGACATCGTTGAGAGCAACGGCCTCACCAAACTGTTTGGGGAAATTCGCAACAAGGACAAGCTGGAAGATCTCAGTCCTGAATACCGGAAATTTGCAGAGTGGTTGAGGATCGAGGTGGCCGCCACCATCTACCATCTGTTTCTGGCCGAGGACAATTCGCCGGAATTGTTTGCCCAAGCGAAGCGCATCCATTCTCTACTTCCGTATACGATGTTGAAGAACGTCATCCGGATCGCGAACCCGGCGGCCGTCATGTCGGGGGTGTTGGACCTGTTCTTAGCCCAGCCATTCGGTGCGCGATCGCTCTTGCAACGCATCTTTGCCCTGACCCTGGCAGACGGAGTTCGACAGTTCCAGCGATCGATCGACGACCTGGTCTCGAAGATTGCCGATCCCGTTCTCACCAACAAGATCAACGCGTTCGTTAGCAGTTCGGAAGAGACCAAGACTCTGGTGCGACAGGAAGCCCAAAGTGAGGATGTGGACATTGTGGTAGCCATCCTCCGCTCGGAGAAGTTCGAGCCTGAATTGAGCCCGTCGCAGATCCAGCGCGTGTTCAATGCGTGGGTTGCCTGGAACAGTGCCGTGGAAAGTCCCGACGAGGAGCTTAAGCAGGGAGCCGAGACGTTTTCTCATCTCAAGCAGCTCCTCAAGCTGATGACCCGGCAACGGGACAAAGCCATGATGGCTCAAATGATCGAAGAACCGACGACGCTGCAACTGTTCCGCGACCTCTTCACCATCTTCTACGAACCCCTGATCCGGGTTTACAAATCCGCCAACGTGTACAGCAGCATCACCGACTTTGCCCAATTTGCCGACGACGTCATCAAGACGGTGGAGTTGGCGCAGCGGCAAGATGTGTCGGCGGACCCCAACCAGACGGTGCAGATCTTCATCGACGTGTGTGCCCGGCATGAGCACAATTTGTACAAGTTCATCCACGAGGTTCATATCCACGACAACGGTCTGTTCACGGCCTTGATGGAGTGGATCGAAGGCATCTTGGACTTTCTGCGGCAAGGGCCTAAGGGAGGGAAATTGGACATGAATGCCATCTTCCAGGGAGCCCTGGACATGGGGTTGATCGACAAGCAGGAGGGCATCCGCGAGATCAACGCGCTGATCAAGTGGCAAGAAGCTCGGAAGAAATGGCACAACGACAAGACCCGGCAGAAGATGGCGGCCGAAGGGACGAGTCCGGTGGAGGGGTTGCCAGGCATGGCGTCGTTCAAGAGCAGTGATTTCGGCCTGCACGAGGTAAGTGTCGATGCTCCTGCCCGACGGCGTTCAGATCACTAACGGCGGTGGCGCAGACGGATCTCCTAGAACTCCAGATGTCAGACGACGAGGACGAGCAGGACACGGACGAGGAAGAGGCCGAAGACGACTTGGACCCGATCCAGGCGGAGCGGCGGAGAAGGAAGAAGGCACAAGACCGACTCCGACGCAGTGCGGGCGAGCCGGTCAAGCCTGAAGTCACGGAGATTTTGAAGTTGCGAGAAGCCTTTTTGACGATGCTGAGAGCAGTTCTGAGTGAATGAATCACGACCACGACCAGCCGGAAATGCGTGGGTGGGTTTTTATTCCTACGAGGACACGGCATGCATGAATTCAGCAAATGCGTGCCTGGATGACGGATAGAGGGCTCGAGATGCCATTCATTCTGCGAGGCTGCAGAGGGCTAAGGGGCCTTGGGCATGACTTATGAGCAGCTACGGACACTAGACGAATACCCTAATTTGCATAGGTTTGACGCAGGCTGGAGTAAAAAGAGTTGAACAGCCTGCTGTAGTAAAGGTATTCGTGGGATGCCTCCCTACTCCGTACAGCCGCCATCAGCCTGACGCACTCGTGACTCGAGGTCCGGTGCCAGGGGTTGCAGCATTTGTTTCTGTGGCTGTGGCAGGTGATGTCCCCCGCGCCGTCCGGTTGTTTCATGATTATCGGGGGTCCAGGGGGTGCTAAGCAAATCAGAAAATTCAGGCCGCACAGGACAAATCAGCATGTTCAAGGGGGGAAGAAAATGCCCGGACCAACAACGTTTTTCGTGCCCTTACAGGTTATCATTGGGCACCTCATAGGAAAATCTGGCTTCGGCGGCGCGTACGGAGCACCTCGTTAGGATGAGACGGAGACGGGATCATCCTCTTTAGCGACTCGCCTGTTGACGAGAGGTATCATTGGCCCGTGGATGGCCGTGATGGGAGCTTTAGCCTCTTTAGTGGTACGGATCTATCATTGTGACGGCGCAGCCGGGGGCGGTTGCTGTCAAGTTTGATGTTTCTTTTGCCGAACAGAACTTCAGGAGCCAACAGGATGGCCGTGCAGGTGTACGGAGTAGGCGGAGAGAGAGTAGGGAGTGGAGCCTACCCTGCGGTTTGCTGACAGGGGATGGAGTGCCCTACGGTGTAGACGTTGCAAAGGATGAGATGACTCTGGGGCATTTGGTGTTTGGCTTCTGGCGTGTGGCTTGGAAACCGAGCAGGGCTGTGTGGTGGTAGAGAGGTGAAGAGGCAGATGCGGAGGGTGGTCGGATGGATGGCAGGTTTGCGTGTTTTGGTGGCTGGCTGGAATTGGCAAAAGGTTGCGCTGAAGAACATTAGTCACGTCAGTACGGAGGACAAAAGGCTTTCTTCGGAACCGGGGGCTGTTTCTTCAAACCTGACCGGACTCGGACTTGTCGCGTTCGAGCGGGTACCGCTGGTAGTGGATGACGATGTTGATGTTGGGATGAGCCGTGGGATCGGCCTGTAGCGTCGGCTGTTGCATGCATGAAGATGTAACACGCCTGCAGGGCCTTAAGCTTCGCGAAAATCCTTCGGTGAGATGAAGAGAAGATACGAGTACACGGAGTCGTAACTTGTGATGTGATGGTTTGCGAGAGCCGCAGACAAGTCACCTGATACGGACGCTGGGCGCAACTCAGCTGGGTGACAACAGTTGACCTCGACAGGTCTCACTGTTCAAGCTGTAAGGTATCCGTACTCTAACTACCTACTACTAGGTGCTTATTGCACTATGTTTCTGCTGCACTTTGATCCGATGCTGGTGCTGTGCTAATGCCCGCGCAGTGCGCACAGCTGGACTTGTTTCACGAGAGAGGATTAATTTTAGCAACACGCTCATGCCGTTGAGAATCGAGATCGAGACGGAGACGGAGGAGAAGGCCGAAACCGGTTTAGAGGCCGTGGCAGGTCACGAGGCGGGCAGCAGGGCTGTGGGAGGAGGTTGGGGTTGAGATGGCACGTACGAGTAGAAGCGAGGAGCGAGGAGCGAGGAGAGCAGGCAGAAGGATGTTCAGAGTTCTGTGCTTCGGTGCTTCTGTTGTTCAAGTTCGCGGCGTGGCGTCATGTCATCGGCGCCAGGTTGTTGAGCTACAGTAAGCGACATGCATTATGATTTATTACGGAGTTGGTGCGTACGCTGTACGGAGTACGGATACGCACTACGGCAGTGCCTCAGCTGTAGCCTGTAGGTGGTATGGTATGGAAGTTACGGTATTGTTTAGGGTAAGAGGATTCCGTACCACTGTAGCATTCTCTAGTATACAATCTAGTGTTCAGATAGCCCTAGTGGTTGGCCGGTTGCACATGACAAGTGCTGCTAGCTGTCCTAGTGCACGGTCTACTCGCCACTAGGCCCAGGGCCGTCAAGCGTGCCTGCGCAGCCGTACTAGGTGGTACTCAGCAATTACTACGGTATCCGTATTCGGCGGTCTGATCTTTTCACCTGCACCCGCGCGTCTCCACCGACTGATCTCTGGCGTCTTGCCAGTGCAACGCCAGTGGGCAGCCTGCGCCCGCCCTCGCCCGCCGTCCAGTCTGATTCATTCCCCTTCTTATTTCTCACTTCTTCTTCCCCTTCCCATCCCTCCGCCCAATCGCCCACCGTTTCGTTTTCTGCTCCCTGGCCCAATCACCTCGCTTTCGCATTTCGCATCCAGCTCTCTTCGACCAGTTACCTCTCCTACCTCTCCCATCCACTCAGGCCACCCAGCGCAAGACATCGAACGGCGAGCCTGTCGCTTGTGCTTTGTCTCTCTGCTCACGTGGGTCTGTGACAAGGACAACCCAACCCGTGAGGCTGCTGCTGCACACCGAATCACCTCCCAGCTCCCCCAGCGCCCTCCTCCTCCGCCGCCCGCCACCAGCCATTGCGAACTTGATTCGACTGCCTCGTCCCAAGATCCACGCTCCTGGTAAACAATCACCACCTATCACCGTCCCCCGCGAGACACAAACGACCACTCGCAACGCCGTCGCATCAACCTCAACAGCCTCGAGCCTCGAGCCTCGCCGCGTCTCAGACAGCAAACACACCGTCGACGTCAGAGAGAAAATTTCGAAGCGAGCTCGGAAAAGTGTGCGGCGCGTCGCCCGTCATCGCCTCGCCTCAGCTAGGATCGCCTGCAGTCCATCATCATCAGCACCCGACCAGCGCAGCAGCACACACGGCACAGCAGAGCAAAGTAGAGCAATCCCTGCTCCCGGCTGCATCTCTCCCCGTCCCCTCTGCCCTGATCGCATGCAAACTCCCCCGCCGCCTTTTCTCACCGCCAACGTGGTCAAGCCCACCATCACACACTACCGCAACCGCCCAACCGAGTATCCCGACCGCAATTCCAGCTGTTCCCGCGGCTCTTCCACCATCCGCCCAACAACCTCGATCGACCTTACTTCCAACCACCGCACACTGCACAACTCCTGTGCGCGTCGTCGTCGCCTGCCTTCTATCTGACTGATCCCTCGGCATCAACGCGCATCAGCTGTACTCCGTACCTCATCCTCGTTGCCGTCCAGCAACATTGCGCCTGCAACGAACCCGCGAGGTTGACTTGTAGTTCGACCCGACCGTTGCTTCATCTTGGGCATAGACGCTGGCCCTTCCAAGCAACACGCTCGACGCCAATAGATCCCTCAGCTCGGGGTTCCCTCAGTGTGGGACGGACTAACTGGTGAGTTGCATGACATGCCAGCGCATCAGTACCCTGCGCCTCCAATGATTGCTACGTGATCCTTTCCCCTCGACCTTCCCTCCAATGACCGCCTTTTTCTTTGCTCGGGGCCAATACTGATACAACTTGTCCTTCTACGTAGTGAGCATTCGAATCGCACGTCCAGTCCGCTTCCGTGCCGCGCTCGAATCATTCCCCATTGTTCGCCGCCATCTCCAGAAACCCAATCCAATCCAACGGCGCGCACGAGATCAAGCTTCTCGAAAGCGTCAGTGCCCGCGACCCAAAACGTCAACGTCAACCAGGTCGCGATCGCAGAGCATCGGTCGCAAGAGCTGGACAGAGACAACACTCAATCGAGTGACGTCGGGTTAGGCATCGTCATCCCACGGCGCGACTGTCCGCGGCCGCGAGAAGTGACAACTCATCAAAGCGCTACGCTACGCGTAGAACCCCAGCCTGTTTCCTGCAAAGGAGCCCAATCTGAGGCGACTGGGACCGGCCTCCAACACCTGACGAAAGCTGGCTGTGCACGATCTCGCCTCATTTGTTGACCATCTTTTTGTCGATATAGTGGACCGTTGGTCAATCGTTCCAGACTTTCCAGCTCCCAAATCGCACATCTGCCCTTCCACTGCCGTCCAAGTCAGTATTGGTGTGTCGACGCTGATCCAGTGACCCACGAGAGCTGCACTAGCTACTCGCGCAAGGGACCAGCCTTCTCACCTCCGACCTACCGTCCCTTAGACCCTCCTATCAGAGAGTCCAGGCGCCCTTTCACGGCGTCCCCAGGCACAACAGCCCCCCCGAGCGCGTGTCTCGGCCGTCACCTTACGCTCCCGCGAGCTTTTTACTGCCCAGCTTAGCCTCCGGAGTCCTGCGTCTTCCGCACGCGCGACACCTGCGGCAACCCAGCGAGCACCTCTGGGCCGCGAACCTCTCTCTTCTGCAGCCCTTGCGTCAATTTCAGCTTGAGCCAGTTTCAAGCTTCATCATAGTCTGTCCTCAAGATGGAATACCCTCCGCAATACCAACAACACACCCAACATCCCCACCTGCAGGGCGGTTATCAGACGTCTCCCGGGACGGCTGGTCCCGGTGCTCTCCAGTCTCCTTCCGGGCCTCAATCGCATTTGCAGCAGCACAACCCGAACCAGGCCTCTCCCATCCTGCCGTCTCAAACCCAAAACCACTATCAACCGCAGCCGGCTGGGATGGGCTATCCGCCGTATGGCGTAAGCGCGAGCATGGCCCAAGGTTATGGAATATCGCCTACTCAGGCTGCGGCGATGGCTACGGCCGCCGCGTCAGGTTGGTCGACCCTCAACCGCTGGATCGATATTATGTGCTAACAGTGGACAATAGGTCAAATGCCGCCGTTGTCGTCCACCGTGGGCATCCCTCAGGCGAGTCAACTGGGTCAACAAAGACGCATGAGCCAACACCTCACAACCAGCCCTCACGGCCAAGTTTCCCAGCCGGCCCTGAACCACAACATCCCCCGGCAATCCGTCCCTCCCACCATGCCTGCCCAACAGCCCGTCCAGGCGCCACAAGAGGAGATCGTCGCCGGAGGGGCGGAGGAGTCTCCGTTGTACGTCAACGCAAAGCAGTTCCACCGCATTCTAAAACGACGCGTGGCCCGCCAGAAACTCGAAGAGCAACTCCGATTGACTTCCAAGGGGCGTAAGCCGTACCTGCACGAGTCTCGTCACAATCACGCCATGCGCCGACCCCGTGGACCCGGCGGACGCTTCTTGACGGCTGACGAAGTTGCAGCCTTGGAAAAGGCTGACCACAAAGGGGGCGAAAATGGCACTCCGGCCATCAAGAAGACGGAACACGCCAGCTCCGGCACCAAGAGAAAGGCTATCGATCATGACCATGGCACCCCCATCAAGAAATCCAAGGTGGCCAGTGAGAGTGCAGACGAGGACGAGGATGATGATGGCGAGGCGGATCTGGGTTGAGCCGGATCCTTCCTGCCAACTACCCGGACCTTCGTTTCCTTGGTCTTTCCTTTGTCCTGCATCTCGAGGAGGTCTGCCACTTTAGCAAGCGTTTGTGACTTTGGGTGACGACTGTGGATTCATTGTCTATTCGGCTCGGCAGGGGGTTTTCCTTTTCCCTTCGAAGCTTGATCTTTGATGGATTTCGTTTGTTCATCTCCAGTGTACAGAGAGAGATACGGGCTCACGCCAGGACATGCCACACATGGCCATATTGACGATCCGACTTACCTTCCGCCTTCAATCTTTTGCGGCGGGTCACCCACCACCCATGTCTCGGCCATCAGACCACGAATTTCACTCTTCAAGACATGTTTTCCTGAGACACGCCGGCCTATTTCTGCCCGTGTCCGTACAAATTGCCGCTCCAGGTAGCGACTGTTTTTTTCGTGTTCGACCGGTCCACGGGGTTTTGCGTTTTTGTTACACAGTTTATGGACAGATTCCTCCGCCGGAAATAATCCACAAGGACCCCATAGGGTGAAGACAGCACAGATGGTACCAGGTTGCTTATGTTTGTCCCTCCAAGGGGACTGGTGCTCGCATCGAGCCAGGGTCGAGGATGGGGGGATATTAGAAGGGAAACACCTCCAGGTGTAGGGAAAAGGAAGAATGACTGGCAATTATGTTTGGGAGAAAGGTGAAGCGTTGGCAAGTCGGCGCGAATCGGCGGGTGCTCATGCACGACCTCGACCACGACCATTTTCCACCCATCCATCCAAACATCCAAACATCAAAGGGAGCATTTTCCATCGTCCATCTCTACCGAGACTGAACTCGCGTTGGAACATTGCGACTACGAGACCCCCTTGATTCCAGTTCCCACTCTTGCATCGACGATCATTGACGCGCGCCTTCTGACGAATCTCCTTGTTCATCTGATTTGTGTTACTTTTTTTTTCAATTCTGGTTGTGTTTGTGATGAGGCGAGCAGAGGAGAGGAGAGGAGAGCATGGTATGGTAGGGTAGGGTAGGGTGGCTAGTAAGGGCTCCGTACACATATGTAGGTAATTAGCTGAAATCAGATGACCGGGCCCCAGACTGCCAGGTGCAGTTTGGGCTGTCTGATGACGGGGTTTGTTGTTCCTGTTGTCCGTGTTGTTGTGTTGGCTGACTCAGAGTCAAGAATCTCTCTGTGTGGTGTCGTGTGGTGGTGTCATGTTGTGTCGTCCAAGTCTGGTAGAGAAGAGGGTAGCAAGAGCAAGAGCAAGAGCAAGAGCAAGAGCAAGAGCAAGAGCAAGAGCAAGAGCAAGAGCAAGAGCAAGACATTGATATTCCACAGGCACCAAACCATACACAGGTGCTTTGCTTTGCTTCGTGCCATCGTCGTATTGTATTCTGTAAGGGTAAGGGGGAGCTGAAATATATCTAACTAAGGTACGGAGTACTACCTACCACGAACATCACATCTACTATATTCTGACTGTACTGGGTCTATTGTATTGTGGTGTGCCTTTGTACGGAAGTATATACTATTACTATAGAGTATATACAACGAGTACGAGCGCAAAACAGAGACAAACAAAGGCAAAGGCACCACCCTCATGCTCACTTCACTGCACTGCCGAGCACACAAACTGATGATAACAACGGTTTTTGGATCACTGCTACAACTGCTCTAGACCGTTTGGATCGCTGTTACATCTGCTCTAGACGTCGAAATTGACATGACCTCCGGCAGACCCTGCTTTCCGTGTCTGTCTCGCCGCTCTCCATCCACGCAGCTGAGCTAAGGCTGAGGTTGAGGTCGCCGTCTCCGTCGCCGTCGCCGTTGCCATCGACTTGGCCGTCATATTGGTTGTCTGCTCCTCCTCCTCCTCCTTGTCACTGCCACCGCGCTTCCCCAACCCCTGCATTTTCGCTGTTGCCGCCGCTTCACCTCGAGAGTCTCGATGCTGCCGCAGCGTCCGGTTTGTCTGCCACATCCACAGCCACCGGCTCAGCGATTCACCGTGGTACCCGATCCACACGGTGCATGCCACGACGACAAACGTCAGCGGCATGGCGGCGGCCCAGAACACCCACTGGCCGGATTCCAGGTTGCGCATGTCGGCCGTGTTCATGCCCATGAAACCCGTCACAAACGACATGGGCAGAAAGACAATCGTCACAATGGTGAAGACCAGGATCGCCTTGCCGTGGTCTTCCTGTTGGATCTCCACCGCCTGCGTCAGTTGGCTGCAGAGCTGGGGGATCTCGGCCATGAGATGGCCGACCTCCCGTCGAGCCTGCTGTTCGTCCCGCCATGTCTTGCTGAGGAGTTCCCATTCAAACTTGTGGTAAAGCGTCCTTCGGGTTGTGGTCGTCTTCTTGAAGCCCTGTGGATCCAACATCGTACCCAAGTCATGCAAAATATTGTCGCAATCCCGCCTGCTGTCCGATACGGCCAAGACCTCGGTCTCCAGCATCCGAATCTCTTGAAGCAGGCGACGCCGGGGGTGGTTTTCGACTTCAAACCTCTGATTTCGGTGGGTCAGTCGGGAATCAAGGGCAAAATAATGGATTGGGAGGAATTTCTGCTTACCAGCCTGCTAAGCTCCTTTCGATAGAGTGCCGGCAGATTGAGTGGATGGCGTTTGGATCCTCTGTCCCGGAGGTCGGCCAGCAACAACAACACCATATACTCCGGCCCTACCGTGTCGTATTGGATGCTATTCGAGTATTCGTTGACACGACTCATCAGCATCAGGTTGCTCTTGGCTTCGTCAAAGGCTGCCTCGGCGGCGTACCCGAGTTCGACGATGTGATTCTGGTGAGTCGATTCGAAGAACCTGCCGAACCGCTCGGGAGACTCTTGGTACGCCTGTAATGTCAGTGAGGCGGCGTACCCGGAGTAAGTCATCATCGTCAGGATCCGCTCAAAGGCCCGCACCAGCCCGTTCGGCAACCGGTAGACGGCAGAGTCGAACTTCCCACTGGCGCAGACCCCGGCAATGACTTCGTTCTTCAACACCCGTAGATGGGTACAATGATCCAACACCGTGTCGCCCAGCCGCTTCGCATCACACTGCAATTGAAAGCGGTCTACCCCGTCTCCTTTCCGCACCCATTCCTGGAGTTCTTCACCCGTCACCTCTACATTCTGGAAGTGGACCTGGCGAAGATGGGAGATGGCTTTGTCCATGCTGAGATGGGGGCGCCGACGGCTGCAGTCCTTACAATGCTCCAGCAAGGGATCGGGAAGCTTGAGTGCCGGGTTCTGTGGTTTTCGCGGAGCCAACTCGACATTTACAACATAGAATGCATCAGGCGGCAGCTCGGAACGACCTGGCCTGGGGACCAGGGGGCTTTCCCCCGACGCAGCGGAGAGCATTTGTTCGAGTCTCTGGTGCGGACAAGTCGAGTCAGCGGCACATCTCCTCTAGGCGGAAACGATACGTACCTGCAGCCACATAGCAACGCCGCCCCAGAACTTCTTGAGAACTATGGACGGGTAATCCGGGGGGAGGAAAAAGCCCATCAGGTCCTTCAGGATCTCCAAGCACAGTCCAATTCTCGCGGTGATGTCAGATGAGGCGGGATCCTGGTCGGATTCTGGCGCATGGTCTCGGCCATATATCTGAGCAAAGGCCGCCTGGGCCACATCTATCGAGCACTCTTGAAGGAGTTTGTATATGGGAGCCTCCTTCTCTTGGAGCATCGGCACGGCATCGCCGCTGATTCGGTCGCCTTGGCTTAGAGTCAAATGGATTTGCCCGAGTATCAGATTGAGTACTTGCAAGTCGTGTTGGTATTTGACCGCAATGTCTTGACTGCTGAGTGCAGCCGCAGCACCACCCTCAGCGGCAGCGGGAGCCGCAGGGGCAGTCTTAGTTTGCCAAAGGAATACTGGAGGCGGCGGGGATTCTGCCAGCCTCCTTCTGTCTTGTCCAGTTTTCCACAGTGGCTCCCGAGTTCTGGGTGCGTCACTGTGCACTTGCTCGGCTGCCGTCGACTGGGCGGAAGAGCCTTGCACCTGCTCGCCGGGCGACGTTTGCGTTCGCTCTCCTGGCTGGGCCCCTAACATGGTGTTGGGGCCTTGACCCTCGACCGTGGGGCCGGTTGCAGCATTGAAGACGGCTTCGGGCAAGTAAAAAATGTGATCAAATTAGGTCGCAGGAGGCGCCTGGTTGGTGATGATATGGGGAAGGAAGTCAATTCGATATGTCGAGTTCTCACGCCGTCGCTTGATCGCTTGCTCGCGCTCCTCTCTGGTTCTCATGTCTCCACGCACGAGGGCAAGCTGATCGCGGTCCCGATCTACGTCAACCGTCGACTCCGTAGGGCGCCGTGGAGCGATCCGACAGTCCACCCGGCTGGTCGATCTGCGGGACACCGCACCTGGCTCCCTCGATCTGCTTCGACGTCCTCTGTGTGTGTATGGGACTAACGCGAGTGCGTTGTCCTCGCGCTGCTGTCCTCGAACCTCGACGTAGGCCGAGCTCGTACGTCTCATGACTGGGCCCAGAGAGTCAGCAGTCCTTCTGCCACTCCGCGGAACTGGAGGAGTCCGTGACCACTGGGTATGAGACTGGGTATGAGACTTCTGGGCCGTTGTGTCCATTGGGATAGGGGACTCTGTTCGGTCATGAGAATACATGGGCTGGTATTCAAGTTCTCCGGTGGCTGTTCGCGACAAAGGGCTCGTCGCATTCTCAGGGGCATCTGCACCTGGGTCTATTGTCGGATCATGGCCAGGTCGGAGAACGCTTGCCACCTCACGTTCGATCTCCTTGTTCTTCTTTTCAATCTCCTCCCTACTCTCCTTGTCAGGCCTAGCCTCGACCCCATAACGGGATCCGCTGCTGTCTCGGCGCGGTCTATATCTCCATTTTCGGTAGCTAGGGAATTCGTCATCCCTATAACGTTTAACGAGAACTCGGCCGTCATGGCGAGTGATATTCGCAACAGAGTCTCGACCGAAAGCCTCCGATACATCTGGAGGTGGCGGTGGAGCAAGCGAGACGAGAGATATGCGCACAGTAGCGCAAAAGCTGTCCTGGCTGGCGAGAAACTGTTGCCAGTCCGGAGCAGTGACTTCAATCCCGTTGATGTCGCTGACATGATATCTTTCAGGGGCCTCGCCGTATGTGCTGCCACACAGGCCGACTACCTTGTCCATCATGGCCTGTGAACAAGGTCAGCGGACAGAGGATCTTGAGAGCATGTTGGAGCCTCTTCGTACAAACCAGGTTTCGCAGTGCGCCGAAGGTACGAAGAATTGTCGGTCTGTGGGATCAAAAAAGCGAATAATCTGGAGCTCCCCCTTCGCGGATTGGTTGGTGATGTCTTCGACGAGCACAGATGTCCCGAGGTAATCATCCACTGGATCGGGGGAGCTCGTGATGAGGGTTCCTGCGAAACAGCGTTACCACGAGGTAACAAAGGCAGAGAGAGACAGCGAGGCGAGATCCCTACCTGAACTCAGCAGCAACAGCCACAAGTTGTGCACGTGAAGAATCTCGTCCGATCGGGACGCCCGGCGCATGATCTGCTTTGCATCCCGCTCCGCCGTGTTCTCCTGGTCCTTGTAGTGGTACTCGAACAGGGTGCGCGGAGGATGCGAATCCGGCGCAACCGAATGACCGCGAGGTCGTGGGCCGGCATGCAGGTGATGGACGGACAGAAAGATTGCCCATTTGTCGGGCGCCGCCCCCGTGTGGCCGTCACATCGGTCGACCCGGCCTTCCAGAAACTTTCCCCAGGAATGACTCTGTACGTGCTCTTCAGCAATCTTCTTCAACAAGACGGTGGCAAGGCTGCGCTCGTCGGGATCCACCGAATCTAGGGTGGCTACGAAATTCTGGATTGCGTCAGGACGGGCCTTGACCAGGAGTCAGTATGGCCCGGCTTACTTGGAAATCATGCAGCTGTGGATGTTGGGCTTTCAAGTGTCTGCCGGATACCAAGGTCATTCTTTCTCCCAATCGTCAGCGGAGGAGGCAACCTACATCCACGGGAACTGGAAATCGTCTTTTCCTCCGCCAGCCGTGGACATCTGGGATTGGACCAAGGCGGTTTCCCTGGCGTCCTGGTTCACGTACCGGCGAACGCTCAGGATCTTACGCCATTCAATGGATTCGAAATGATGACGCTGACGGATCTGGATCAGTCTGTCTAGCCTGTTCTCGGTGGTCTGTCGCGCTGGTGCTTGGGCGTTGAAAGTTGAGCTATTGGCAGTGTTCTGAAGATCAACCTCGATGGCATTATCGGGTTTGACGTAGGGCTCTGCCCTCGTCAAGCGGCGAACGTCGATCAAGTCGGAGTCCGAGTCCGAGTAATCGTCAACATCGTAGTAATGTTCACGCTCCTCGCGGGCCTCGCGGGGCTGTCTCACCCTGGATGGCGGCCTTGGCTTCATAAACTCTATAGTATCTGTAGAGCTCGAATAATCGGATCGACCCATGATTGTAGAGCTTCTTGCTCTCAGAGCACTCACTATAAGTGTGGGGTGGTCTGGCGTCTGGCGTTGACGGCGGTCCTTCCAAGCTCTCTAAGCTGGTGTCCTCCCGTCGCCCTCTCTTGATGAGGCTTATGACACGGGGCCTGTAGCTACACATTGAGCGACCACATGAGATAGTACGGGCATCGGCATCGATGGTAAATCGGGAACTGGGAGGGACGAAGAGTGCTTGACCCTGAACAAGGTGGCAGCCAGCTGAGGTTGGATGCGCCAGAGGATGGTTCCCATCCTGGCCAAAGTCTTGGGGTTCTTAAGGCCACACGACCAGGGTACTGTAGCGCCATTCTCAGCCTCCCGCAGATTCAGCTGGGGCTTAGGAGGCTGTACGGATACTTTGTGGCGTCTTGCGGCATGAGGGCTAAGGCAGGATGGGGGCCGCTCGGAAGGCGACCGAGGCGACTCGCTTGTGTAGCACCGGACTTGCAGGCACCAGGTAATGCCTAAGTAGGTGTGAGGTTGGTCGAGCGTTGATGTATGAGGTAGGTAGGGAGGTAGGCAGGTTAGTAGGTAGGTAAGATAGGTAAGGGGTTCTGCAGGACGCAGGACAGAATACAGATACATACAAGTACGACAGCCAAGGTGCTTGCAGCACACGTACAATCCCGATCCTCCCTCTGCAAGTGAGTCGAATGTGTACAAAGTACTCCGTACTCCGTACACTACATATAAGTCTTAAAATCTGGTCTTTGTGTTGCGTTGTGTCTAGCTTGGGCTCTAGCTTGAAATCTGTCTCTATCATGCCATGGCTATGCTATGCAAAAGCAATGAATGCTACGCTGCCAAAAATGTCGTGCTCCAAATGCTCACATGCGAATCTCAGGTCCCCTCCCAGGTCGGCGGGGCTGAACGACCGCCAAATGCTGCCCTGCACTGGTGCTTGTGTCCATGCATCCTCGATCGAGTCGGAAGTACTCATCCAGGAACGAGAACAACGTCCAAGACCCAGGCTGGACAGGTGTCCCGCCTCGACGGTGCTCACTCTGCCATATCGTTCGTGCGGTCCTGCCCTAATCGTGAATGCACGGTGGCTCTCTCGGCGCGGGAAAGATGGACGAAATTGCATCAAGATCTTCAAGATCGTGGTCCGGCACAAGCTTCCCTTTTCAGGCCGACCACACAATGTAGATAACTTCAGCTCCTTCTGGATCCCTGCTTAACGTCGTCCGCGTCCAGCGAGGTGGCCTAGAAAGTCCAGTTCTCATCGACCGACTTGATAGCCCATTCGAATTTCTCGCGCAGGGTCTTGGAGAACAACTTCTCGATCGGCAGGTTGAACTTCTTGCAGAAGACCACGGTCAACCGTGGATCAATGTAGTTCTGTTCACATGAGGTCAGTAATCTGGATTGGCGACGGCACACCGATCAAGACTTACGATCTTGGACGTCCCCAAAGCCACCTCTTTATTGTTCTCTTTGTCCTCCACTTGGACGGACATGGTGGCGATCCTGGCATCAAACTTGATGATATTCTCCTCCAGCTTCTCAATCGACGGGGATTTGCCCTCCGCTTCGATCTTCTTGGTCTTGTTTTCCTTTTTGAACTTCTTCTCAAGCTCCTTGACCACGTCTAGACGTTCGTCGAGCTCTTTTTGCTTCATCGGTTTCTCACCCTCGGCCTGCAGCTTCTCGTTCTCCTTCTCAAATTTCTTGATGATCTTGTTTCTTTGTTCTTCCACCAGGAATGCTTGATGTTCCTGTATCCATGCCTCGTCCAAATCATCTGGCAGTTCGAAGAACTCAGCTCCCTTCTTCTTCTTGATCTTCGGATCGACGTCGAGCATCATCTGCTTCAGGCGCCATTGCTGGTACTTGAGACCTTTCAGCCGGTCACCCAACTTCTCCATCTGGTTGACGTGGCTGGCGGCGACCGTTCGCTTGTGATTGCAAAGAATGGCCACCTTCCGGTTGGCGTCGTTGTAGTCCTTGATCTTTTCAGGGATGGTGCCCTCGGACTTCATCTCACTCAACAGCCGCGACATGGTGAAGGACGCATTGTAGGTACGAAATACCTTCGCGGTCAGTCCGGGCATGTAGTTCTTGAGATGATTGTTGAGTTGGGTCGTCGTCAGGCGGTCGAAAATATCGTCACCTTCTTTCTTCGGAGGCTTCTTGAAAATCTTGAGGTTCTTGAAGACTTGGGGGTCGACTTCGAATTCTTCGTGGAACCGAATGCTGTCTTTGCCGAGAAAGTCGAAGATGACGGTGCTGGGAGCACGCAACGTGATATGTTCGTACTTCAGCGAACAACAACCGACCGTCTCGGCCTCATCCTCGCCCTTCTCGTTCCCGGCTCGAAGGGCGAATTGATCAATCAGGTACATGGCGGTGGCTTTTTGTCGGTCGGCCATGAGTTCAGATTTGAGGTCCTTCCGATAGTCTTTGCGGATCCGGTCGATGTGCTTCTTCAGTTCGCGAGCCTTTTCGAACTTTTTGTAATCGCTCTGGCCCTTGATGTCGGAATTGGCCGCAAGCATGACATACTTGTAGTTGCCGTTGATGTTCTCCTGCCACATGGCGAGCCATGTTCCTTGTTTGTCGTGTTTGATCTCCTTCCATTTGTGACCTGCCGGAGGCGGAGGAACGGTGGCCTCTTTGCCGATGTTGAGAGTGACTTGTTCTGGCATCACCCTGGTCTTGACTTTGCCCGTCTTGGGATGTTCGCCTCGCCCGCGAAACAGCCCGGGAGGTTCGACACGGAAGTTGCCAACCTTCTGCTTCTTGCCATCCCAGACGCAGTACAAGTAGGGAGCTTCGGCTTCGTCCTTGGCGGCCTTGAGGGCTTTCTTTTCCGCCGGGGGCAATGCTTTTTTGGCCTGCCTCTCCGCGTCGTAGTGGTCGAAGATGGGTCTAAAATCGCACTTGCGGAAGTCCTTGATGTCAACCTTTTCACCCGTTTTACTGCTGGTCGCCCCGCCCGTCTTCTTCAGGATCGCTTTGAAGTCATCGAAAAAGTTCTTCTGGAACGTGGGGTTCTCCACGTTGTGCGTCGAGTTGAGCATGCTCCCGAAGAACCCGGCCACCTCCTCGGCGTCTGGATGCAGGGAGATGGGAACACCGTCGTATTTCATTTTGACGTGCACCGGAAGTGGTTGGTAAGGCGGCGGAAAAATCACTCCGTTGTGCTGCAATGTCTCCCATTTGTTGGTTCCATCGCCCTTGGTGGGATCTTCCCACCATTTGACATCATCCTCTTCTTCCTCTTCGTCCTCGGGATCGACAGTTTCCTCCTTCTTGACGGATTTGGAGGTGGACTTTTTCACCGGCGTCGAGGATTCCGCCTTGACCTTTTTGCCCTTGACTACTGCTTGGGCCCGTTTGGCCAGAGGTTTGTCGTCGTCGGTGGACTCCTCCTTCTTGACCTTCTTTGCCGCTGGCGCTTTCTTGTTCGGTTTCTGGCTCTCTTTCTTTTCGTCCTTGCGGATCTGCTTGGCCTCTTTCTCGGCAGCTTTCTCTATCTTTTGTTTCTGTCGTACCAATTTCTTCCCCAACGGGACGTCGGAATCTGACGACTCTCCAATCTGTGCCGCAGTCGCACGGGGGGGCTTGGTGACGGTCTTGCCGTTCGCTCTTGCTTTGGCAATCAGAGGAGCGTCGTCAGAATCGGACCCGGCCGGCGCGGTCGTGGTCTTTCTTTTCTTGCTCTGCATTCTAATCAGCCTGGATACCGCTCAAGGTAGACCTGAGTAGTGCATACCAGCGGAAGATCGTCATCGCTGCTTTCGGCCTCGGCATAGTCGGGTCGGGCGAGACTGTCTCGGACCTTGCGTTTAGCATGGGCGGCCCCGTTGGTGAGATGATCATCAACGTCTTTCATGGGCGTATCTTCCACTTTCACATCACCATTAGCCATCGAGATGCCGGGAACGACCTTCCCGTTCGTTGGAATCTGCCGATCCATTACGGCGTCGACCGTGGGAAGGATCTTCTTCTCGGAAAGAGAGTGGACGACTGCAGAGAAGACTAGTCAGTGACCGGTGAGGACAGGAGGGATCGGGCTGGAAGAAGAAGTGGGCGAAGAACAAACGCGGGTCAAGTCTTCGACGGGTCACGACCTACCTCCGTTTGTGCCATTAAGCTTTCTCGTCCCGGCGAGGGGCATGTCATCGTCCGAAGAGGCCATTATGCGCGTATCAGAGGAGATGCCGCGTGACAATGGGCTCGGTCGCAGCTGGAGAGGTGGAAGAACCGAGAGCCGAAGTGATGCAGGACGTGTCCAAGAGGCGAAGGATTGGAACGACCTCCCGAACGCGTGTCGAGCCGTCGAAATATTGACCTTGACGGGGTATGAGGAGGGAGACGGGTGGGTGAAGGAGAATGAAAAGAAGAGGCGAAGGTGACGGGAGTCAGTGGGGGTAAAGAGCCGAGCAACGAAGTGAAAGTACTAGTAGTCAAGGAAAGATAGAAGAGCAAAGAAAAGAGAGTGAGTGAGGGCAGCCGTCGATAGTTGCAGTACCACTCTTTCTGAAGGAGACGAGGAGGGCGCCGGCCCACCAACAACCTCAAAGTCTTTGCGCTGCACTGCGGCTTAGGCGCAGGCCTCTGCACTGCAGTAGTGGGCGACCGAGCGTTGGGCGCCTTCCTCTGGCATCTTGCCTCTTGCCTCTTTAACGTCTGCGCCGGCCGCCCGAAAGCATGCGCTAGTGCCGCATGGGGACTAGTGGGACAGAAATGGCAGAGCTTCGTCGGAACCTCGTTTGCGAGTTGCACCACAGCTTCATCGACCACCGTGATTCTCCTCTCTGCTCTCTCCTGCAGCATCGTCAACTCCCTCCAGATTGCTCCTTGACAGCTTCACGGTCAGCCTAGCTCGCCATGATGTTGTCCAGAGCCGTGAGACCAGCCCTCAGCGCCGGCAATGCCGCCTTCGCCAGGTGAGCCCCCGTCCCCTCCACCACACTCCTTCCGAGCTCATCTGAGCCATCTCATCGGCTTCGTGGGAATCGATACTAATTCATTCACAGAGCGGCGGCGCCCCAGGTTGCTGGCTATGCTACCTTGCGAGAAATCGAGAGTACAACCACCAGCCCCAATCCTTTTACTCCGCTAATGAGACGCCAGGTCGGTTGAAGTCGATCCGCAACATCGAAAAAATCACAAAGACCATGAAAATCGTCGCCTCCACAAAACTCACCCGCGCTCAAAAGGCCATGACCGACTCGCGAACCTACGGTCAGACATCCAATCAAGTTTTCGAGGAGGCCGAGACGAAGCCGTTGCCGGAGAAGAAGTCCCTACTGGTTGTTGCGAGCTCCGACAAGGGTCTCTGTGGCGGTATTCACTCCGGGTTGTCGCGTTATGCTCGCCGACTCCTAGAGACTGATGCCAGCCTGGACATTGCGGTGATTGGAGAGAAGTCCAAGGCCCAAATCGGGCGGTCCAATGGCAGCAACGTGGTCTTGAGCTTCTCCGGCGTGGGAAGAGATGTTCCCACATTCGCCGACGCGCAGGCTATTGCAGACCAGCTGGTTTTGCTGCCGGAGGAGTATGCGAGCATCAAGATCCTATACAACAAGTTCATCAACGCCACAAGCTACGAACCAGTTATCATCGAGGCATACTCGGAAGAGGCCATCACCGAATCACCCAACTTCGCTGCGTTCGAGATTGATGACGAGGTCCTTGCCAACCTTCGCGAGTACACTCTGGCCAACTCCCTTTACTGGGCTCTTGCTGAAGGACACGCTTGTGAGCAATCTGCGAGACGAAACGCCATGGATGTAAGTATCTCTTTGGATTGGGTGGTCTAGTCTGATGCTAACGATTTCCCAATTAGAACGCTTCCAAGAACGCTGGTGACATGATCAACAAGTACTCTATTCTGTACAACAGAACCCGACAGGCCGTCATCACGGGAGAGTTGGTGGAAATTATTACCGGTGCCACCGCCTCCGAAGATATGTAGGCGGGTTCAATCAAGAAGTTGTACATAAGCACACCAAACAATTCTCCTTGTCTGCAAACAGACGTTACTGTCTTCAACGCAAAACGTTTTGTTTCAATCTTGACCGATCTTGCTGCCTTGCCTTGTTCTGCTTACTGTGCGTCTAGTTTGTCTAGGCAGTGCCCGCCCATCCACTGCCTCTTTCAATTGTCAGGAAGACTGCCTCACTGTTTGCCACACTGCCAATGATCATTCACGACGATGCAGCATTTAAAAGCGCAGATTTCCCTTGCCCTCCTTGACTCTTCTTCCTTTCCACTGATCTGTGCATCTTCCACTCTCTGGAAGAGACCGCGATCACATCCAGCAAACTGTTTCAGCCAACTGTTCCAGCCACCCGTTCCAAAGCAAAATATCACCCACAATGCACTCCACCGACCAATACGGTAGAGTCCACGCGCCATCATGGCTTGACGATTCTTCCGACTTCTCGAACCCTGATCTGCTTGAAACAAACTCTGATCCGCCCCTCTTCTGGAGGAAGACCTATGCTGGACCAATCGACGATATCAGCTTTGGGGACTATGACAAAGAGGGCGACGCGGTAGGATTGCCAACAATGCGCATTGTACTCACGGTCCTTGCCGCGGCCATTGTTCTCTTTGCGACTCGGCCTCGGCTCTTCGCCGACACCATTCTTTGTCTCCTTGTGTTTGCGCCATATCCGGACTTTGCCAGGTATTCCAGGTGGTGCATCTTTTTGCCGCTTGTCCTCTATGATACAACCCAGGGAAAACTCGAAAGCGCACTCATGCTCGGCATACTGACGACGACAAGTTCCATTGACTGGTCTTATGCCTGGGCAGTGGTCAACCGTACATATATCTTGGTCTAATTCTGGCACTGCCAGTACTCTCGAGGTGTCGTCGATGGTAGGTTCTCAGCCCTGCGTGGCAAGCTTTCCCTTCACAGATGAGGCACTGACATATGGACTGCAGGCGTGGCTCTTCCAGGGCTGATGTTACGAGGCATTGACGTCGCAGCAGAGGTGAACGTCTTGATGGCAGACTTTGTTGGGCCGTGGCTCAAACGGCGGGATGGAACAGAGCTGGATCTCAGTACGTTAGTTGCATTTCCATCTGTCTTGATAGGACTGAAATGTTAGGGTACAGGTACCATCTGAAATTAGGGGCAAGACTGACGGAGAAGGCATGGTAAGATCTCAATGGACGGTCTGTCGAAGCATGTTTACTGGAAGAGGATGCCTCGGATGACGAGATGGCTGGCAATGCGAGCCATCTGCCTCGATCAGTGGACCAAGTCTGAGTTGACTGGTGGTACAGTATCAGTGCCCCCCAGCAGATGTGCTTGATAGATTGCCATGGTTCTGACAAGTGGGCCATAGTGACAATGCAAGAGATTCACACCAGACACGCTCGTTGCCTGACGCCTTTCTTCATTGAACTGGTTGCTTGTGCTGGAGCCTGCGCCTGCGTTATTCACGCTCGACCTCATCTCTCAGCCAACGCGTTGAGATTCACCGCAGATACTTGGCGCACCTTGCCCATTGCAATGTTTAACCGTATTTCGTCAATATCAACCTTCTTTGCTGCACTCATGTAACCTTTCTTCCTTTTCTCCCATTCTCCCACACACATACACCCAATCCCACACGTGAAACAGGCCTCATCCTTCTCAACAACAACCAACCATCTTCCATCCAGCACGAACCACTGAGCCTCTGCTATCAAGCACGAAAGAAGGTGATCGCCTCCATTTAGACTTGTTTCCTCACGCAACGTAGTCCCTGTTGAAAATCACCTAAACCTCTTACCATGGCGTCCTCAGCAATGGACCGACTTGCACTGTTCCCGGTCGTCGATTCGACCCGCTACTGTACAGAGTCCTTGGTTCGGAGCCTTCCAGACGGTCTCACGGGCCTACCGGTGCTGCCCCCGATGATCGTGACCGGCGAGCGACGCTACATCAACAACATGCGAATGGTGCTGCGGTACCTGAAACAGGTCGGAAAAGCCTGCAAACGCCAACAAGCCCACGAAGCATACGAGAAAGTTTTCTACTGGCGTGTCTGTGTCAAGTTCGCGCATGACATTGATGAAAATCTTGCACAGCTATTCCTCCAGCAGGACGATCAAGCGTACAAGTTGAGGCACGAGGATCCAGAGACAGACACTCCAACCTCGCCGAGATCCCCCAATTCCAGCTGCGAGGTTTCTACCACACATGCTAGCTCGGTGACAAGCGATGAAGATGGTAATGTCAATACCATCATGGCGGAGTGCAATGAGGATTGTGTGATCGATGTCGATCTGGACAATACAGAAACTACTCCTGATGGACCAATGAGCCTTGACACTCAGTCAGCGAGATCTCCAAATACAAAAGATCAAGTTGCCATACAACACTGGACGACTCTTGACGCTCATGAGAGTAACGGTGGACTTGCTGGACACGAGTCTTTGGCTGGCTGCTGTCCTGAGTATGCCGTGGAGGATAAAGATGACTCTGACCATCCCACTATCACTCAACCATGTCATACGATCGGAGTTTGTCAGTTTGAGGGCGATGCCGCCGACGAGGGCCTTGAGTTTGAATTCGACTTTGATTACCCTCTCGAACAAATTGAAGCCCAAGATGCGCACGTCAAAGACATGAGAGTCAAAGATATTCTTGACGAAGAGACAACTCCAGAGGATCCGACGAGACAACCGGTAGGAGACCATGACCTGGTCGGAAAGTGTCTTGAGAGCGAAACCGGCAGCGCTGTCGAGGATGTGGAACAGGCACCCGCTATCTTGATCAGATCATCTGCGCCCAAAGAGTATGACGATCTCTTGCATGTGTTCCTCTTCCCCCGAGACGATGGGCCACCACACGACGACAATGACCTGGAAAATACCTCTGCGGACGATGAATCCACTCGACAACATGAAGATGAATCCACTCAACAACATGAAGACGAATCAATCCAGCAAAATGAAGCACAGCCGGATATCTCAGTCGCAGCTCGTGAGCTGGAAGTCGAAGTGGAGAATGAACCAAAGATTGTCGGTGCAGAGGCACATGGAGATCTCTTGCATGTATTCCTGTTCCCGCGAGACGACGGACCATCTCTCAAAGCTGCCGAGACAGACAAGCAGCACGAATTTGATGAAGAATTCGAACCAGCCAAACACAACGAGTCTGATGAAGTGACCATACTCCAATACCAACGTCAGCCAGGCTCCAATGACCCGAGAAACTCGTCCGAAGTGCCCAGAACCGACTCGGTGGCGGCGGCTGATGTCCACGCAGCGAACACCAAGGAGTATGACGACCTCGCTCATGTATACTTATTCTCGAGACATGATGGACCCATGGTGACCGCTCATGAAGCCACTCATGCGGACCAGCACCAAGACTTCTATGGAGTCAAAAAGGATGATTGTGACTGTGATCAACATGATAGTGGTTATAGTCAGGAAGACCGACACGACCACAGTCAGCTAGATGAACATGGCAGTGACAACAGTCAGGTAGACAGACTCGGCGACTGTCTCGCACTGCACTTGGATGACCATTATGAATCTACATCCGCCGACTGTGGTACACACAATGTCGACGACCAGGGAGGCCTGCTACATGTCTTCCTGTTTCCCCGAGAGGATGGACGGACATTCGAACCCGGACATGAACAACCGCATGGACCAGGACATGGTGAAACACCTTTGCAAGCGTCAAAGGGAGGGACATTTGAACAAGGCTCTGGCAACGAGACATTAGCTACTCAAGCGAACGGGCTCGATGGGTTTCAACAGCCTGTAGAAGAAGAACAAGCCAGCAGAGATGGCGAGGAGTTGATCGACGGTCATGTTTCAGAGACAGCAAACCGTGCAGAGGATCACCATGCTTCGGCAGAGATGGCCGTCGAATCAACGGTACCATCAACATCAAAGGGCGACTTTGAACTTGACGGGACGGTCGAGGTGAATCCAACAGCCATCCTCACTCCCGGTCGAGAGGTCCTCAATCAGGACGCTCCGTGTGACTTTGACGCCGCGGCCGGAGAGCCGGATACTGCTGATGAAGACTCGACTTTGGTCGCAGACACCACTGCCGCCCTCACTCCAGAAAGCTTGAAGCTACTCCAGTTCGAAACCGTGTGGGATAGCATGTCGGAACAGAAATCAGCATCATCAACAACAACAGTCAGCCACAGTCACAGTACCAGTGACAATGACGTTGCTGAGATCCGCTTACAGGCTGAGTTGCGAACCGATAACCCCAAAATTGATCAGAGCAAAGAAGCCGAGAACGATATGCAGAGTGGATCTTTGAACAGCAAGGAGACCGCAGAAATGGAGGCTCGTGAGAGTAACAAGACTGAAGAGATACGACCCACTGACACTAACACTGGCACTGGAGTCGTCGATCCCAAAACACCCGATCAGACAAGCCGTGTCAACGATACTTATCCGACAAGCGAACAATGCAGCCCTGACGACTCATATCCGCCGCCGCCAGAATGGTCGCTCTCGGCCATCCTCCTGGGCGTAACGGCCGGTGCGATTGTGGTGGCGGTGCGGGCGCCGGTGATTTCGGCTTTCCTCTTGTGCGGTGGTATTGCGTATGCGAAGTACCAGTTGAGCTGGACTCGATGAGCTTCTCAGTGAGGAGGAACCTCGGTCTTTTATTTGGTGTTGGTGTTGGTGAAGTTGGGTGGGTGGTTGGGTTGTTGGGTAATATGCCTGGGGGATAATCAGGCGTTTGATGCAACGATTGAGGTGTTGGCCGGTATTAGGATGATGGAATTGTGGGTGGTTGTGGTTTCAGGTGTCATCCAAGTGGCAAAGCAATGCAGCAACACGGACTGGCTGTGGGTTGCTTTGGTTTTCTGGGTCGAGTATCAACGGGATCAAGCTTGACTCCTGAACTTGTTTGAGTGTTTGAGTGTTTGAAGATCGATTGGATTGCTATGGAATTCTTGACGGAAACCGATGATGAAGTGAGTTGATTGTGGTGATCTGATGTGGCATGACATGGCATTGCATTCAATGGGGCAGGCTGGGATGAGACGAGATGAGATGCATTGGGCATTGGGCATTGGTGGACGATGATTTTGGATCGTCGGACTGACCAGGCTACAGTATGTCATGAGCGGCAGCATTGGAGTTACGGTACTGTCTGTGTTTTTCATAAAAGTGATATGATATCTTTGGTGTTGATGTCAGGACTCGTTGCATTCCTATCGTGTAGTAACTCAGCACCATCAGCACTAGACTTGTCGTGACACTACCACTACCACTGCCACTGTCACTGTCGCTGTCGCTGTCGCTGTCGCTGTCGCTGTCGCTGTCGCTGTCGCTGTCGCTGTCGCTGTCGCTGTCGCTGTC